CACTATAACGATTAAGAGCAAACTATTAATACAAAAAGCAAGAGTAAACAGCTTTAAATTAAAGAACAGTTACTACACGTACACGTAAAAGTATGACTTCCTAACCACAAGCCATTGTATATTTCATTAATAAATTTCATAGTTACCTAATTGAGCTTGAAGTTCTTGTACTAATACACGAAAGTGTTGCTCTACTGCTACAATCACTTCAACGGCGGATTGCTTGTCTTCTTCAAGACGATCGACGCGCTGCTGGAGCAGATCTTGATGATGATTTCTCTCCTTTAGTCTCTCCGCTAATTTCCTGTTTTGTATCTATAAGAAGCAGAGAAAAAATTATTAAAAGGGGAGGAGCTAGAAAAATCAAGTCCCGCCCATTCTGTAGTCCCAACCTGTAAAACTTTGATATCAAGATCTTCTTGGCTAGTGGCTGCTGGTACGTGAAGTGGTGGCAGACCAATGAGCGGTTTCTTGGCTTGTGGAAGAGGAACGTCATCTCCTGCAGGTCTCTTCGTAGCCATGCTACCCACACCTTCCTATTAGTATAAGAGAATACGAAGGTATACGGTAGTTTTCAAAAGAAATACGGAGTTTGCTATTTTTAACCCGAAAAATGGCGAGTGGAGGAGTAAAGAGGGTAAACAAATTTTTGTGAACTAACTTGGTTATTTTTTTCTATTTAGACAACAGCTTTGGTAGGGTATGCTGTTGTACCCAATGCTAGAGAGGTAAGAATATCTCATTCTGCTTCATGTCTCACGTTATGTGTCAGGTTCTCTGTGGTCTTTATACAAAAACACTCTCAGCATTACAGAAACTACCCAAAGAAGCTGCCTATAGGAGAAACACTGAACGAATAGTCCAGCAAAGACTGCAAATAGTTCAATCGGTAAAGAGTTGATTTATTATTAATGAGATATATGAAGTAGATTACGACTATGAACATATAATGGGTGGTATTATGGAACACAGTACACTGCCTGTAATAATACTACCTGTGATTGAATTATTGAATTTAAAAATATTAGACTAACTGTCTCATAACTAGTGTATATAATCATTCTACTACTTCCTGATTTTTTACATAATTAAGTTATGAATAATTATTGTTAATTGATTAATTGGAAATTTGTAGTTATAGTGAACCTGATCTATTCCATGGTATTGTTGACATTGAAACAAGCAGTTTCATCAAAATACATTTTGATCTCATTTCTAATGATCATATTAGGCATTTAATTAACTGAATATTTCTATTTTCTGTTACTATAAGTGACAAATAATCTATTTTGCTATTTGTTTTCAATTGTCAATTAGGTACTTATGCTTTAGTTTTTCTCATGTTAGCTGACTTGTACATAAGCAATTGAGAAGTACTAGTGTTTGTATATGCTATATAAAGTTACAGTTACTGAATATTATGAGTATAATTGGATAAATAATGATAATGTTAGTAACAGGCTGCTACTATAGCCACTCATTCTAGCTTTAAGAGACACCTGTATTGAATGGTTGAGTTAACCTTTACTCACTCATGATGCTGCCAGTTTTGACACAAATTGAGCCAAAAGTAGTAAACTTCTTTAAAGTTTCTGATCACTGTAATGTAAATATTTTCAATTTCACACTATATGAAATTTATTAATTTTATTAGGAGACACATGTACCAGCCATTGAAGACAAGATCGGATGTGGACAAGTGGAGGAGCTCATTGATCAGGCTAATAGAGAGCTGGAATTGGTTGGGAAGATGGAAGAATGGCGTCCCTGGGAGCAACCAATAGCCGATCCACCGCCAGGTCAATGGTCATGGCCTTAAACTCAACTAAACTCTATTATTATAATTGATGTAGCAAAATAAAATAACACTAATAATAATTACTAGTCACATTCAAGTGTCACACAAAGAATACAGAGTTACTAGTAGTAGCTAAACATTTAAATCATTGGAGCACTCCTATCATCAGTGACAGTAGGTCGCAGCGTTTTCCCTTTATGAATATCAGACCATAAAGCAGATTTATCATTAGTATTGGAAGGTGGAGGAGGAGGAGGAGGAGGAGGTAGTGATGACTCATTAGCGGCACTGCTGGTGACTGTTGAATCAGCTACTTGAGGCGTAGTAGAAAATAAACTTGATCGATAATATCCTTCATTGCTACTACAGGAATAAAAATTAAAAGAAAAAAATAAGTAAAAGGTTATGATACTCAGAAAAGTTGCTTGCAACATATGCTATACTAGCAAAGACTTTATTTACTATTCAAGTGACACTTGATATGCTATCCTAATAGAACAATTAGTCAAATATTTGGAAACCTCGTGGCATGTACAAGCAATTAAGAAAGCTAGTATCATTTAGCCAAATTGTTGGCATTATTATTTTTGGACATACCGCACGGGTATAAAATTTCGTGGGGTATTAAATTTCGCGGATTTCGTGGGTGACTTTTCAACCACGAAAATTAATATCATGGAAATGCTCACTGCGCATGCGCAGCATGTGAAAATCAATGACTTAATGCAAGTGCATGTGCAAAAACGCGAAATTTAACCCCCTCGAAATTAAAGAATTAAGAGCTTTTCACTAAAACACAAAATTTTATACCCTTGAAATTTTCTACCCGTACGGTAATGATTGGTGAAAAGACAAAAGCATGCAAATTTATGCATAACTTCTTACTAAGTGGAGGAAGATGCTTTCCTTCCCTTCCCTCCCTTTGACCTGTATCTTCTGGACTTTTGGATCAACTCGATTATATCTTCATCTAATCGTATCTAAAAAAAGGTAGAAATCAGAGAGAAAAATAATAAATAGCACAATAAATTTGTAAACGTACTCCTTCAGGATTATCTACAGATGTTCTTGCATTTTGAAAGAATGGTAGCTGAAGAATCTACAACATTATTAATGAAACAATAACAATATCATCACACACTAACCTCGTCAATGGTTGGAGGGATCCTTGACTGAAATATGAACTGAAGTACCTCCACTACCTGTTGATTTTTTACATTTTTATAATCAGATTCAATCGGTGCAGGGTTCGATAGCTCTTTACCGCTACCCAATTCAAAGAGTAAGTGACCTGCAGGCACATTATAATGCAAGCATGAAGAAGCTATGAGACCTACCAAACATGACAGAGTCTATGTTCTCTTTATAAGTTTTTACGTTGCGGGAAACTCTAGGCTTGTATCCTAGTATTGCATTGTCAATCCCCGAGACCCTTAAATATTAAATATTATTAGAGCCACTTAATGATATAGTTTGATAAACTTACCTACAGCGACCTCCCTCTAGATATATATTACCAGACTGGATCTGTCCGAATGGTTTGAATCCCAATTCGTGGACAAACAAAACAGCTTCCAATATCTGGCGACCAAAGTTTTGTATTTGATGTGTGCGTAGTCCTGATCTCCTCACAGAGTATTTTGTAGACCAAGGGAGTGACGGGGTTGTCTAGATAGAGGGGATAAGTACACAGTCACATGCCATCATTTCATAACAAAAAATTATTTTAAAGTGAATGGGCTCATTAATCAATGATAACACACAACTTTTACTTCTCTGCCCACTAGTATATTATGGACCACAATTTTACAAATAATCCACCATAAATCATAGCTCACCATTGCTACTTAGGCTACATGCAATAAATGCAATATAAAGTTAGTTACATGATAGATGAGATCTTTAAGAGACCCTCTCTGTAGGAATGGTTCCAGGATGACGATAATCCTCTTGTCAGGAATGTAGTCAATTTCCATAATTTTGTGAATGCATTGATGCTAAAATAGAAGCCATACACATGAGATGAAGGAATGGGAGAGAGAGAGAGAGAGAGAGAGAGAAATAGTGAGCTAAGAAAAAAAAGCATAACTCTTATACCTCCAATATTCTGAATAATCTGTTCATGACGTGTTTGTCAGTTCCCTGTAAGTTAAGCCTGCACTGTTGGCTGATCGGCGACTAACATTGAAAGTAATAATATTTACTAAAATTATAAAAACATTTTTACCATTGTCAGCAGAAAGGGAGGATTAAACTGGCCACCTGAAATGGGGCGGACCATGAACCAAGACTTACTTATCCTACTACCTATATACATGTAATATACATGTAATGATGCATAAAGTTTCAAGACATCAATAGTGATTTGTTTACCAATATCAGGTAGGTGAGTCTCCAATACGTATTTCTGATTAGATCTCAAATAAAACTGGCAGTTAAGTAGTCCAGTCTCTATAAATATAAGAGGGCACGTCATAAAAGACATTATGCTCATTCAGTACCTCTTCTGGTTGATTCTCTCTCCTTTCTCTGTCTCTGCATTGCTTCATAAAGTCCTTCCTCTGCAACAGCATCAGAAATAGATCCGGATCTTATGTCCTGGTTTCTCCTTGTGGCAGGGTTGTATGTTGTAACAACTGATCCGGATGGGTCCCTCAGCGGCGTGTATCTCAATCTATAAAAGAGACTGGATGAGTTTAAGCTATTGGTCTTATGGGACACTGACCTTCTGGACCTCCTACGGTAAAGACAGCAGCAGCAGCAAACGATGGCAGTAATTATCACTATGCATAGCACAAGTACGATCAATGAACCTCCAGCAGTCAGGCCAATACACACTAAGTTACAATTTTCCCAACAAGTACTGTTGCTGCTGCACTCAAAAACCATTCTTGTTCACACCACAGGAACAGTTTACCTCACAGCTTTACAGCAAGGACAAGCTAGCCTATATATCTATGCCCCCTCCTCCTCTCCTCCCACTTTTTATCACTTCAAAAAATAATTAGTAATGAATAATACATACTGACACTCATAATGTGTCAAAAATTATAACAACAACAATAACAACAATAGTAATAATAATAACAGTTATGTGTACTGCTGGGAGATATAGAGTTCACCCATTGGCTGTTGAATGACGGCTTCATCAAGCAGCATGGTAATCTGATCCCGTACCTAAAGTACATAATAAATTATTAATAATAGAAGTTTTCGTGGCTAAAAGCATCCTTGATTCGTATTAATACAATCATATGCTCATGCGAAATTGAAATTGTAAAGAAATGTACATCAATACACAAGAGAAGAGGATAATAGTCCATTCAATGACAATCTAACAACCATTTGATTTGGTAATTTCATGGTATGGATTAACAATGCCTTATTAGGAAACGAATGTACTATTTCTAAGTGTATTTAAGAGTAGTGAGGATAGTACTGGTCAGTTATGCTTAGTGGTTTTACAGTAGTAGAAACAAATCACTGTGGTGTTGAAGCAGCCACACAGTCATAAACTTTCAAGGAACTAAACTGCTGCATTATTTTTATTTTATATTTATAGATATTTTATGAGTTCCAGTACAACATGTGGCTAAGTTACAATTAAATGTAGGCACAAAAAGTTCTACCAAATTTCAAAAGTAGTCGTCCTTGAAAGTTTCCAGCTACTGTGCATGTATATAACATGCAATCATAATGAAACACTGGATTTTTTGTTCTGGGATGTGACTTAACAAAGCTAATTATTATCCTCCAAAAACCCCACTATATAGTGTAACCAATTTCTGAAAAATACGCAAGGCTATAGCCCATGTTTTTTTGAAAAAATGGCTCCAAATTCACCCCCAATTTTATTACATTTTTCTGATACACATTGATATCCTTATGCTATGTAGAAAGTTTGAGCCGATTCCAACTTCAATTTTACAAATTACAGCCATTTAAAAAACGGGCAGATTTCTGAAAAATACCCTGTGCTATAGCCCATGGTTTTTTCCAAAAAATGGGTATGAAATCACATCAAATTTTTATTATATTTTCTGATACATATTGATGTCCTTATGCTCTGTAGTAAGGTTGAGCCGATTTCGACTTCAATTTTTTGAGTTATAGCCATTTTAAAAAACAGGCCAATTTCTGAAAATACCCTGTACTATAGCCCATGGTTTTTTTGAAAAAATGGGTCAAAAATCACCCCAAATTTTTATTACATTTTCTGATACATATTGATGTCCTTATGCTATGTAGAAAGTTTGAGCTAATTCCGACAAATATTTTTTTAGTTACGACCATTTTAAAAAATCAACCAATTTCTGAAAAATACCCTATACTATAGCCCATGGTTTTTTCCAAAAAATGGCCCCAAAATCACTCCAAATTTTTATTAGATTTTCTGATATAAATTGATGTCCTTATGCTGTGTAGAAAGTCTGAGCTGATTCTAACTCAAAATTTTCAAGTTATGGCCATTTTAAAAGCAGAAAAAAACTAATACTATGTACTGCATTAGTCTGTGCTTTTCCAAAAAATGGCTCCAAAATCACACCAACAGTAAGTTTATGAAATTATATAGTTACGTAACTTACAATTGTATGTGGTATGACAATTATAAGTATTTTCTTTTTACCTGATCCATTGGTGGCCTTTTCTTTGGCTTGCTCTCAAGGCAAAAGGTAGCAATGACAAAGAACCCAAGGGCAGTGTCCTGGGGCCATCTTGCTCTTACATCAGACTCATGTAGCACCATCTCCCTATTCTTGTCAGGATCATTAAACAATGGCTGCAAATGATAAACCTAAAACAAAATTAATAAAAAATAATAAGGTGACGATCAAAACCTGTGTACATGTAATTATCAAACTTAGGCTGGTTTACACAGCAACGCAAAACAGATCCTTTTTCTTAAACCAATACACTTTGAACACTATTTACGTTTCCACAGAGTGCTATCAAGATCTAAGATTCTATCACATTTTCATTAATTGTTTCCGTGTAAACAGAAGCATAAAACAGGCACAAAACTATACCAATTGCATCATTTCCGTTGCTGCGTAAACCCAGCCTTAATTATGCAGTAATAATAATAATAATAAATACGACCAGACTGACGTGCATCATGCATTATCAACTCTTAACTATAGAAATCAAGCAACACTGAAATGGGTCCTGTTTCCTCCTTTATTTGTAATCAATAACATACTGATAGTCAAAATATTGTACAGTTTGTGTGTGTGTGTGTGTGTATGCTAAAATCTCCTCCACGACTATACTCAACCAGATGACAAGTAGTTAGTACCAGTTAACACATCAAGCTAATTAAACTGAAGACTAAGAAGCCATTCCAGCCAATAGTGCAATAATGAAGGAATGTGAGGGAGGGAGCAGTTAGTAAATACAAAAGTTATAAAATAATAAATAATATAATAATAGTTCAATAACTTCAGTTCTAAAAGTATACAAGCAAATACAAGTGGGGGTAATTCTATTGTCACAATTTTTGCAAAAATTAATTTCATGTTTGAATCATGCTAATAATAAAATTAACGATTTATGATTACAAAAATGCCAATAGAAAGAGTTACATATTATTGCCCAACTAGGCTCAATGTTTAAGTGAGGTATGCACACTGTAATTAAGGAGTGCCTTTCAATCAATTAGAACATGCAAGTGTTATTAATACAATTATAAATTACTATAAGCCCAATACATGCATTTACATGAAGATGTTTACAACAGCGTCAATTCAGGTTAGACAAACACAAGTATGACGAGATAATAAGACCGAGATTGCTACAGTAACAACTCCCTGATAATTCCAGGAACTAAAAGCTACAACGAACAATAAGAGACTACATAAGAATAACAGATACAGTCCTCATGACAATAACACACAAATATAATACTATTAGATCATGAAGTATGGTACACGTAGCTTCTGTATAATAATCATTCTCCATGGTATACTAGTAAAATATATTTGCGTGTGTGTGTGTGCATAGCCTAACTAAAATGAATGATAGAAAGACAAGCAAGACAGCAATAAAAGATACAGAGTTTGCACATGTACATGTACATGTATGTTCAAAAATCCTAAGAGTCTGATGCACTATATGTACATGTATACGTGATTGAAAAATCATTTCCATAATCACATTGGGATATACTGTAGTGTAAGTTAAATGCCCATACTGACCAGTGTCCGTATGTCCCTGCTAGGATCATCTGCCGCTTGACCTGTGAACAACTCGAGTATAACGACACCAAAAGCGTACACGTCAGTTTTAGACGAAGGCTTTGAGTTGCGCAAGAACTCGGGTGCCATATAAGCCACTGTTCCCATGGCAACCCGGCTATTGGCGCTGACTGTGGTGACGTGAGTTGGACGGTTGAGAGACTCTCGAGCTAAACCAAAATCAGATAACTTTGGGGTCAAGTGTCTGTCAAGAAGAATATTAGAACTATGGAAGAAGAGGGGGACAGAGAGAGTAGGAGGGAGAGGAAGGGCAGAGGAAGGACAGAGTAATAGTAGAAGAGGAGTAAAAGTGATAGTGGGTGAGAATAAGGTAAGGGGTTTGAGAGAATTGATAAAGAAGTGGTTAGAGTAGGAGGAGAAGGACAGGAAGCGTAGTGAAAAAAAAAGAAAATATAAATACAATGTAAAACACACAATAATAATATAATAATGATAATAATAATAATAATAATGAGGTATTTCCGTACCTCTTCACATCACCATGAATGAGGGACTGTGGCTCATTCACTCTGTGCAAGAAGTTAAGAGCATCAGCAACTTGACTGGCTATCTCCAAACGTAGCTTCCAATCCAAATGAACATTCTTCTATAATAGCAATAAAAATACCAATGATAAAAATATAATTGTAAAACCTAAATAAATAATCAATAACTTTATAGCTTACTTTCCCAAGAAGGCAATCAGCTAATGAGCCATTCTCCATATACTCATAGACCAGGCATGGCCTAGGGCCATCATCACTAATAGCAATGAGACTCAATACATTCCTGTGCTTATATCTATTAGGAAATAAAAACGATACATCATTCATTATCTTAATTACATCCATGGAAGGACAATTAGGAAATACTAACAGCCGCGTGTGCTGATATTGGCAGGGTAAACAATGGATTGCAAGTTTCGATATTGAAAACACACACACACACGATGCTGCACATAGTAATAATAATGAGAGCATATCAAGTGATAGATACTGTCCGTGTGTGTGATAGATACACACAGAGCATAAGGTAGCGTGTGTCTTGGAAATCAACGTACACTAGTAGTAGCATCTCTTACTTGACAAGTGACTGTAATTCCAGCATGAAGCTCTCTTGATGAAGAGGTTCAAAGAACAGCGTTCCTTCCATCTCTGACTGCATCTCTGATCTCTATTAGTCACAAACAATAACAGTTAAAGGCGAATTATTACTAATATAGCAGCCGGAAAACATAAAAGCTACATGTACACATACATGTAAAGATACAGTTATTATAATTGACCAGTTGTTCCCTTACATTGTGTAGCTTCTTGATAGCATACGGTCCACAGCCTCTTATGTTTGCTCTAAAGACACTGCCAAAGGCTCCATGACCAACCAGTCCCTCGGTGAATATACGAGTAGCAGTGCTGAGATCAGCATAAGAGAAACGAAGGATACTCAACTTGATATCATTATTAGAGGCAGCAGCAGAGGAGGAAGAGGAGGAGGGAGGGGGAAGAGAAGATGGGGCAGAAGAAGGAACAGAAGAGGGAGCAGAAGAAAGAGAGGGAGAAGGTGTACAATTTGTAGGCGAGCTACTTGTACCTATGAAACAAAGGAATAATGAAATGATTGTATTCTGGAAAAATACACAAAAATAAGAGGGACAGAGACAATAGGATAATAACAAGGAAAGCCAAAAAGAAAGCAAGACTCAAATGCTTTGGATTCTTACTTGAATTACTGGGTCTTGAGACAATCCCATCCAGCTGCCTCTCACACCAAGGGGAGGGTACGGTCTGAGGAGTGAATACAGGCGAGGTACCATGATACCCATCGTGGGATTGAGGGGAACACATCATCACTCCACCCCCTCCTTCGTAATGTCTCTGAGCCCTTGAGTCATGAAAGGAGGAGTCAAGAGAGGGAGGATAATGAACGAGAGGAGAATAAGGAGGAGGAGGGGGAGAGCTAAATTGAGCTGTAGGCGTATCTCCTACAGGAGAGAAGAAGCAGCCAGGCGACTGAATACCAGGAGACTGACTCTGATACTGACTAGCGGGGCTTGACGAGTGGTGGTGGGCGTTAATAAGAAACTGATTCGAAGGCATGTGATGATTATCGTGTTGTTGGTCCTGTGGTACTCGTAGTACAGTGGTACTGATTACAGTGTTTGGTACATTTATTGGCAGTGGTCCCACTTCAGGATGGTATGTGTACTGTAGTCCGTTAGAACCATTAGCTCTGGATTGATCAGCTTCTCCTCCTCCTCCGTTTCCTTGAGCACTCCCTCCTCTCATTGAATCACTGCTCTTAGTATTAGGAGGCAGCAAGCGAAGTGACACTAAATAAAAAATGACAATGAATAGCATATATGTAATATATATATATATACACATTATATGTTTATATGTAATTAATGTATGTTGATATGTAAATATGTAAATAATATGTAAATAGGTTGGTTCAGAATACTAACATTATGCTTCTTTGATTAGATATGGCTTAGATGCATACCACACTTGTATACATCAAGGTTTAATTATAATAATTATTTACAAACACAATGGCTGATTGTGATGGACAGTGACAGTAAGGCATAACAGTTGATCCAATTAGTCATCTGAGGCTCTACTGAGGCCATTGTGTTATGATGCAAACATTCATTATTATGACCACTGAAAAAGATCAATGCAATTGTGGCCACTTTAAAACCGATTTCAGTTTCAAAAAATCCTAAAAAAACTATTATTAAATATCAGTGGTCAGGGAGTCCTGCCTCCTGACACTAGTCCCTGAGTCTCCCAAAATATAAACTAACAGAATAAGGTGTCCATGTACATTATGTGCACTTTATATGTACCAATAGCTAGCAGTATTGGGGCTTTGGGTGGACAGAGTGGAAAGGATTAGGAGTAACACAATGCTGTGGTCAGAGTGTCCCATCCAAGATCAACAACCTCAAAATTCCCAGCCAAACCTCTGTGTTCATACAAGCCAGTACAACATTGGGAGAATATGCTGCCAGTATAAGAGTACTGGCAAGGATCATACTGGCACACTCAGTATAGTGAAATAAAAATACTCTAGAGTAGGGCCTGTTGTGCATGGGTACAGACTACTAGATATTAAAGATCACGATTTATATATGAAGTGACATGATGACTGATGGCAATAAACAACTCATATTAATACAACACCAACACACACCCGTACATGTATAATGAGGAATTCCCCTCAAGACAGGATTAATATTTCAATTAGTAACTTGGTATGCTCGCAATCAGGATGAACCTACATGCGAAATCATTAAAAGGATTCTATAAAGTCTCCTAGCTACCACAAGAAAACCTTAGTCCCTTCCACAAACGATTTACTATTACTTTGAGTATACACTACAGCTTCAGATAATTATTATAACGCATATGAAGTAATGTACATGACAAGGCAATACAAACAGAAAGTGGAGTGGCAGAGGGTACAGACCGATTGCCTAATTGGTTTATATTACGAACTACAGTATACTGAAACCCAATGGATATCTCTATACTAACCATACTCCTCTAATAGCTCCATTCCTCTCTTGTGTTCCATGTCCTTTAGTATCAAGTACAGATCATCAGTTGTTACACAGCGTACGATAAAATCGTTAATGATTGCTTCAGAGGGACTCCCTGCTACTCTGTTAGCTACCGACTGGAAATTAGCCACTTCATCTGCAGTATACTTAATCCCTATAATCATGGACAATGCAATATATACATAATAATAGGATTGTATAGTGTAGAAAACATCATTGAAATCGTGTGTATGAATGATAAATGTTCTTTCTTAGCTGAGAAAGACAAATTGAAAATTGTACTAGCTTCAAGTGTCAGTATTTGTTATTAAACTTGATGGACTTTTCTTTCACACATCACAAACCAACCAATATCACAATCATTGACAACTACACATCATCACGTAACATCGTTTCTAAATCATGCATGCACTTTTTTCACGAATACAGCAAAAGTATGGATATGTATTACCTTGAGAATGCAGTATTATAAGAAAGTTTCACGTGTGTATAGTGTAGATGTGAAACGTGTTAATGTATGAATCCCTTACCAATTACTTGAGCATGAGAGAGTAACGAGGACCAGTTGTGGTGATCCGGGTGAGTTCTATCAAGCAGCTGTGTTAGTTTCTTGACAATAGACCAAGGGAGCTGCTCTAACGTCACTGAGCGAATCTTGGCCGGTCCGCCATGAGGGCTTGTATTAGCTGCTGTCGAGAGCATCAGAGCTGGAGGCGCTGGTTGTAAACGATACATTAAACAATAGGCTGAGCACGGGCAATAGTAACTGTGACTATTCATGATGTTCAACTTACTCTGAATGTCAGAGAGACGAGGCCAAAAGAATCTTTTATATCTCAACAGTACAGAACTGATCGCAATGAATATTAAATTAGTTTATAAGCCACACCTCCTTGTTAATAAATGAAATAAATAGACCAGGAGTAGATTATGAGCTCTCTTGTGCTTTTGAGACGTTTTTGTTCGCCTAAAGTGAGTTCTGTAGCTGTTACTAGCTATTATTTTCTCTCTGTTAGGTTCTTGGTAGCTCTCTCTCCCTCACTGCATCCTCTTCTATCAGGAGGAGTCTCAGTACTGCTGGTGTGTAAATTATTCTAAATAATGCTCATGTATATATATTTTTGTGTATCAAATAAGTCATAGCTGTATTGTAATGTATTGCTAGGAAAGCACCGTTTATTTGTGTCTCCAATATTTATGTGTACTGTAGTATTTATTGTTAATATTGTATTAACAATTATTGTATTTATTGTAACGGTGATCATGGTGTATTCCTTAAGTAATTGATTTTTGTGTCATATTTTGGTGTATTTATATTTGTAATTTGGGCGTTTTGTAATTTTCTAAGCATGGTCTATATGTTTTATATTATAAATAGTCCATGTTTCTATTGAAAAACAGCTACGATATTATTATACACATCTGTTGCATGTCCACACCCTTATGATTCATTATGCAGAATGTATCACACTTAGTGATCACGTCTTTGTGATCAGATTTGAAAAACTAGTCTAACGTGTGGTCTCTCTTAATCATTAGGAGATGATATTGATTTGGTGGTGATTGGCAGTGGTCCTGGGGGATACGTTGCTGCTATCAAAGCTGCTCAATTAGGAATGAAAGTAGTCTCTTTTATCCTTTTCCTCCATTTTTATGGTTGTTTATTTTCGCCCACTTGCTCTTCATATAGACCGTGTGTGTTGAGAAGGACCCAACACTTGGTGGGACTTGTCTTAATGTTGGGTGCATTCCATCTAAGGTAAGACATAATGTGACTCTTTTAGACCTTTATCCAGTTTAATACATTTTGAAATACAAATATATATTATATCCACTTACAAATATGTATATATGAATATATCACTGGATTAGTTAGTTTTTTTTTGCAGAAATTTTACTTATACTTATAATTATATATTTTTTAATAGTCTCTTCTTAACAATTCACATTTTTATCATATGGCTAAGGATGATTTTGCTAACAGAGGGATTGACGGTATGATGCACTAACATGCACTGATCTTTTATTGTGTTTCTGTTGATTAGTTGGAGAAGTCAAGTTGAACTTAGGTAACATGATGAAGCAGAAAGAAGATGCAGTGAAGCAGCTAACGTCAGGGATTGCTTACCTATTTAAGAACAACAAGGTTTGGTGATGAGGTCATTAAGAGGCTTCTAGAGTTTGGTTGTTCCCCAAAGGTGACTCATATGGCTGGGTTTGGTAGTGTATCCACTCCAAATGAGGTAACCGTTACTAAAAATGATGGATCAGTTGAGAAAGTTAAGACAAAAAATATTTTGATAGCTACTGGATCGGAGCCTGTAGCTTTCCCTGGCCTTGAAGTAAGTTATTGCGTAACCTTTATTTTTTATTCTTATCATTTTATATATATTTGTTATATATAATTCATCCTTTTCTTTAGTTTGATGAAAAGATTATTATATCATCCACTGGTGCTCTTTCCTTAGAATCAGTTCCTCAGAGACTCTTAGTGATTGGTGCTGGTGTCATTGGATTGGAACTGGTAAGATTTCAGTTCTGATCATTAATGCATCTACATGCTACATGTAGACTGTACATTATATATTGTTTTATTACATTATCAGGGTTCAGTGTGGTGTCGATTGGGCTCTAAAGTCACTGCAATAGAGTTCTTAGGTCACGTTGGTGGAATGGGTATAGACATGGAAGTATCGTAAGGCCTAGTCTTGTGACCTCATTCATACATTGTCTTGTATTATTATAGGAAGAGCATTCAGAGAATATTAAAGAAGCAAGGACTAGAGTTTAAACTGAACACTAAAGTGACCAGTGCAGTGAAGACTGAGTCCGGAGTCCAGGTATTATTATTAATGGATAGTAGCCTAAAATTGGACTTTTGCAATAATAATAATTATATGTACATGTATCCATTAGTTGTACTAGATATTGTATCTTTAATAGGTAGCAGTACATTATAGTAGATTATATTAGTAAGGAGACTCATGCACACACATTGCATAATTTATTATAAGGAGCTAGTCCATGATGTGTTTGTGGGCTGGTAGGAAGGAAAAGGGAATGACTAATAAGGACTAACTGTAGACTCTCTGGCTCACTCCTATACATGTACATGTATACATGTATGTGCCATTTTCCTAATTTTATCCAAAGTTCAATTGTGTTTATCTGCCAGAAGCTATGAGTATTTGAAAGTTTGTAGCCTAGCAGGAAGATGGAATATAATTCAATTAGTAAAATTGGATTTTATGTATCCATTACTTGTACTAGATATTGTACATATCATGTATCTTTAACAGGTAACAGTGGAGTCGGCCAAAGGTGGTAAGGAAGAGCAATTAGAAACTGACGTATTATTAGTGTGTGTGGGACGAAGACCCTATACTAGCAACTTAGGACTAGAGGTATGAGAATAACTGTATATTTACACATACCGTACAATAATGATGTAATAATAATAATAATAATGTAGGAGATTGGTATCCAGTTGGATGATAAGAAAAGAATACCAGTTAATTCAACATTTCAAACATCAGTACCAAAGTTAGTCTATCACTGAATCAAGTCATGTTCTTTCCATTTGTTCTCTTCCGTTCACTGTCTTTAAAAGGAAGAGAGAAGTGAAGGGGATTATTTATACAAATAAAGTGCATCTTGAAAAAAACCTTTTACAAATTTTGCTAGACAGATACGTGTTTGTATATGTCACGCATCTCTTACAGATTATGCTTTATTATGTAAACAATTTTCTATTTGGTATACAGAAGGAAATTTTTTATCAAAAAGAGATAAAGTTATCTTGGCGACTTTTAATCTCCCATCCACCCTGTCTCCACTTATGGCGTACATGTACATGTACGTACATGTACATGTATGTGCATGTATTTTATGTATACATGTATATGTATGCCGCCATCTTGAAAAACCAACCTCAATCCTACATATAGGCTAAGGCTACTGCATGTATAATAATTGTATGTATTTTATATTATAGTATTTATGCTATTGGTGATTGTATCCATGGTCCTATGCTAGCACACAAAGCAGAAGATGAAGGTTCAATGCTATAGTCCATTAGTCATACTTACTCTCAGTATTGATTAGGAATCATTTGTGTTGAGAATATATTAGGAGGAGCCGGTCATTTAGATTATAACTGTGTCCCTTCGGTGATATACACACATCCTGTAGGTCCCATTGTGTGTGTGTGTGTTGGGGTTTATTTAATTTATTCATGCAGGAAGTGGCATGGGTGGGTAAGACAGAGGAGCAGTTAAAGGAAGAAGGGATAACTTATAAGGTTGGGAAATTCCCTTTCTCTGCTAATAGTCGAGCTAAGACTAATGGTGAGGACATGACATTAATTAATAAATAATAATAATAATATAATATAATAATACATTGCAGCTGATGCTGATGGTTTTGTAAAGATTCTCAGTGACAAGACAACAGACAGGATGCTAGGTGCTCATATAGTAGGAGCGGTAAGTTATGCCACACCCACTGACCCTCACTCTCTGTTACTCCAGACTGCTGGTGAGTTGATCAATGAGACCGTGTTAGCACTGGAATATGGAGCCTCTGCTGAAGATGTTGCTAGAGTCTGCCACGCCCATCCTGTAAGCTATTCCGACATTTTAACTATAAAAGTATTATGCATGGATAATTGTACTTGTATAAAAATTGTTACTGTGTCACTGCCACAGCTACACAGTAATGCATTAGTTATTTACAATGTAGTTGGCGTATTATAATCTTTTCTTTTCTGTGTTAATGGTGTAGACATGTGCTGAAGCGTTACGTCAAGCTGCATTAATGGCTTACTTTGGCAGAGCTGTCAACTATTAATGATAATATAATGATAATAATACAATTATTGACATTAATTTTTTTTTTCATTTTTTAATAGACTTGTGCTGAAGCATTGCGTGAAGCTAGTCTAATGGCGTATTGTGGTAAAGCTGTCAACTTTTAAAACCATTGTGACCAGATAATAACTATTATAACACTGCATTGCACACACACACATGCAGATCGAGTGCTGTTTTATGGCTATAGACGACATTGTCCTACATAAATTATTTAAGTAATTATTGCAAACCAATTGTTATTTGTTCTTTGAAAAATTTAGATTATTATTATAAATGGTGTGTCCTGCATCACACAACTTTGATGCTATATAGTTGATGCTATATAGTATGTACTATTATAGTTGCTACAAGACTTTTTAAAATGGCCATAACTTTAAAAATTATAGTTGGAATCAGCTCAAACTTTCTACATAGCATAAGGACATCAATATGCATCAGAAAATGTAATAAAAATTGGGGGTGATTTCTGAGCCATTTTTCGGAAAAAACCATGGGCTATAGTACAGGGTATTTTTCAGAAATTTGGCCAAATTTTTAAAATGGCCATAACTCGAAAAGTATTTGTTGGAATCAGCTCAAACTTTCTACATAGCATAAGGACATCAATATGCATCAGAAAATGTAATAAAAATTGGGGGTGATTTCTGAGCCATTTTTCAGAAAAACCATGGGCTATAGTACAAGGTATTTTTCAGAAATTGGCCAAATTTTAAAAATGGCCATAACTCAGAAAATACTTGTCGGAATCAGTTCAAACTTTCTACATAGCATAAGGACATCAATATGTATCAGAAAATGTAATAAAAATTGGGGGTGATTTCTGAGCCATTTTTCAGAAAAAACCATGGGCTATAACAGGGTATTTTCAGAAATTTGGCCAAATTTTTAAAATGGCCATAATTCAAAAAATACTTGTCGGAATCAGTTTAAACTTTCTACATAGCATAGGGACATCAATATGTATCAGAAAATGTAATAAAAATTTGGGGTGATTTTTGAGCCATTTTTAAAGAAAAAACCATGGGCTATAGTACAGGGTATTTTTCAGAAATTGGCCAAATTTTTAAAATCGCCATAACTCAAAATATTTGTTGGAATCAGTTCAAACCTTCTACATAGCATAAGGACATCAGTGTGTTTTTCCAATAATTTTTTTTCTCCTGTCAGTTAATGTTTTTCTGCGTCCAAATTTCTACTCCTCACCATTTTGTTTCTGTTCACTTTTTAATTAAAAATTTATGTAAAGCAATTGTAAAGAGAGTTTATAATAGCAATGTCATAATAATCTATTACATTATAATACACACATCCACACACACACACACACACACACGTCGAGAGGTTAAAAGAATGATTACATAGTGTGCTGGAGCACTGACTCAAATATTTGAGCTTTTGCTTCAAGTCCTGAAGCTCTTAATGATTGAAGAATCTAGAAGAGACATGAAAGAAGTCTTTGATGGTTTAATTTCATTGAACTCACTTGTTGCTGGTATTTAGTTGCATATCTTAGTATTTCATAAGCAGCACTTTCAATGTTAAACTCATTCTGTGACTTTTGAAACAGTTCAGCTTGGTGCTAGTGTTAAAATAAATAAAGAATAATAATAATAATTTATCTTTTCAAAACAAAGCAAATTTAAGGACAAGGGTTGTAACACATAGAAATGTGTAGCCTAGGAGTAAAATTAAAATAAGAATGAACACCACATGAACATGCAAGTGCTTATACAAAATTCATTTCTCAAGCCTTGCTTTTAAAAGTATTTCAATAAGAAAGTGAACTTACTGCTGACATGTCTTTAAGATGCTGCATCATAATATCATCTGGGATTCTGGGGAGGGCCTGAATTTCTTCGTAAAATCTATAACCGAAATTAATAACAAAAACGCTCAATTTATAACTCACAGTTTAACACTGTTCTTATAATCTTGAACCTCTTTGTTATACAACAGTTTACTAGTAGGCGAATTCTACAGATTGAAAATCACAATAATATAATTTATGAGTAATTACAATACACATGATAAATTAGCTCAATTTATAACATGAACTTACTATTGTTGGTCGAGTGTCAGAAGATGAGCAGCCATCAATAAAAGCCTACAGATTAAAAATAATAATAATAATAGTGTCATTTTAATAATACTACAGACTCATATAATAAATCTATCAGTTACTGATGCATACTTGAGCTATCACTGAGAGACAGGAGTCCACAATAGCCGACTTGTTAATGTCAAACACAAACTCTGGGTTCTTAATGAGATTAACCCAAAACCTCAAGGCCAATGCGTTATTCTTCCACGTGTGAACAACATCAGTATCATTTATCTTAGCACACATTGCCTCATCGTCCAACAGATCAAATATGTATTTTATAGCAAGAGGCAGAGACTCCGAGCCTGGGGCATACATCAACTGACTGCCAGCAGTGGCAAAGGTAGTGGCGACAGGAGTGTATAGGTATGATGGGGAGATTGGAGGATGAGAGAGTGTGAAGATACTGTTGAAAAGATCATCTACAAACTGCTGCAAGATGGTCTGCAAAAGGAAAAGAGATAGCAATAAAAAAAGAATATGTAAAGTTACAAGTCTCAATTAAGTATAAAGGAATTGCTTTATTACTTTGGTTGATAACATTCTTGGTAAGTATATTTCAGTGACCATCTTCTTGTTAGTGAACACTGAATGTGGGTCTTCATCAGCTTGCTTAAACTACAAGAAATCGTTATTATGAAATAAATATAATTTCCTGGGCACTTACCAGATGCCATATTCTTGTACCGTCCTCAGCGTCAGACAGTGTTCTAGTTCGGTGACCATGTGACACCATTAGACTACCAGTATAATCAAATGCTGCAACAAGAACAGAAAAATGTCTTAAATATAAAGTACTATTGATATTAAGAAGATCATATTATAGATTTGGCAGACATTAAAATCACAAGTAGAACTCCCACAAATGCAGAAAAAAATATACTACTATTTTTCAGCCTGTGCTCATTAGCTAGATCTATTAGTATTCTACCTCTGCCTGGTGCTGGTGTTTCCTTTCTAGGCAGTAGACGGAAAGTAGCTCTATCATGAACGTGATAATGACGGAGAGTGTTAATCCTTCTCCAGCCATACTCATACTCATTGGCACCATCCTCATCGCGAAGTATCTGACTATCAGTTGGTGATCTACGATACTCTGAAAATGATAAAAATATAAGTGATTGATACTTATTATGATTATTTTTTTACCTATATCAATTGATGATAGCTGAGGTCTTTGAGAAACTGGAGCATTCTGTTATTATTTTAATAAAAAGATGATATAAAAGTGGCGTACTTTAAAAACAGCATCAAGCATCTTCTCCTTAGCTTGACTGATAGAATCACAGTCAATGAGTTTAACAGGAACCATTAGACCATCCTCTGTCTCAATAGTTGCATTAATAACCTGCCAACACAATAAAGACTTATACGTCAATCCATTATTATGAATACTTGAATGTCTAGTTGCTGTCTGACTAATTTTTGTTCACTCAGTGAGTACCGAGCTTCCCCAGTGATAACATCAATGGGTCCTTTTTCTAACTGAGCTTTAACTGCTTTGTAAAGCAAGTATAATGGCTGACCAGTGTGTTCCTGAAAGAGAAAGAGTGAGGTGAATGTGTGTTACTAATATTATTATTGTGTTCATTTACCACAACATATCCGTGTAGAGTAAATGCCAACCAGCTACTCAACATCTTTTCAGCAACAGACTCGGTTCTTCTCAATAAGAGTTTGGGATACGATTCAGCTACAGTTCGTCTTACAAGATCGGACAATAACCTCTTGAGTATCCTAACAATGAAACGTGATATTAATAGTATATTGTATTTCATTGTTAGTATATTACTCTGTGGCGTAGTCTAATCTGTTATGAAGAGCTATCATAAGCAAGGAGCCAAAGTTAGACCTGAGAGAAAAAGTATTGTGAAAAAGTAGCGATATATTGAATTCCTTACTTGTCTCTAATATTGAATGGTTTCTGTGCTTCAAGTGTGTGCACTATATTCAGCAACACAATCTTATCCATCAGTAGTCCATAGAACATTCTTATACCAGTTTCCATTCTTTCCTTCTTACTCGACGGAAACTATTGTATACAGAATAACCAATAATAACAAACTAAGGAATGTTAAGCATTGACTACAAAAAGTACTGTACTGTGAAATGATTTATATTTGTTTTTATAAAACTACATAACTATATCTTAAGTTTCTATGATTGATGCCTTGACTATATGCAATATATTACTTGTGGTGGGTGAAGTGTAGGATGATCTTTAGAGCCAGGAAATAAACTCTGCAATAGATAGGAATGGAGGTTATGATAGGGCAGTCTAGTTCCAGTCAAATCTCCAACAAGTTCCCCAAGATCAGTCTGTAGCTCAGCAAAACCTAATAAAAGAGCAAAAGGTAATAGGAACATTAAAAAGACTGAGAGTACTAACCTAGCTTGCATTCATAAGCAACACTTGATTCGAGTCTCTCCAATTCAAAAACCAATCGATCGTTCTGTTCATCTTTTTGCCGGTATTTGTGATAAAACACCGAGAACAAGACCATAAAGATGACAATGATGATAATGACAAAAGCAGCAAAAGGAGGTCCCACGATTATCAACAAGCTAGGAGGTGTAGTGATTGTAATGACGCCAATCCTCTCATTATAATTACCAACAGTTACCTATTGTAATGTGAGCAGTAATACAACATCTCATAATAATCTAATGTGATATTACTCACTCTTATGCTGTATTGATCACTTGAGCTGGCTGTGGCAGGTATTTCTACCTCACATGTTACTGTCTGTTGACAATTTGTTACAATAAAAATAATAAACAAAAAACACATACTGTTTCAGTTTTATTCCTAACGGCACAAGGAATCTGATCCAAGTTAACCTTAACTTGTTCAATGTCGAAACGAAAGCCCGTGCCCTATAAAGAACATGAATTATATTGTGCATATATGTGAGATTATTATTATTACAGTCAATGTAAGGTCTTTAATCTCCCCCGGCCTCAACTCATCAGTAAAATCAGTATTAAAGGAAGGGTCGGGATAAAGTGTGAGGCTGACATTAACGTCTAAGAGCTCAGTGACATTATCCATCAGTAGACCAAGCCTAACTTCAGTGGCATTGATCCTGAGGGCTGGAGCAGTGCATGTCATTATAGTCGTTCCAGGATTACATACCTAAAGTGATGAAAGTTAAACATGTATGCATAGATACATAAGTCAGGATTTTCTACAGGGTTTTGGTATGCAGTTTCTTGTCAGTGGATTTCAAAGTTGCTCAAAAATTGGACCAAAGTCCCTGTACCATAGTACAGAGATATTGGTTAAATTTCGCCAAAAATGAATAGGAAAGAATTCTTCATTTTTATAATTTTTCTGATACATATACATGTTCTTATGTTGTGTAGAAAGTTTGAGCTGATTCCAATCGAAAATGGATTTTTTACAAATTTTTAAAGTGCTCCAAAAGTAAAAGTACTTGTCAGTTCAAGAAGCATGCTTTTTAGCTCACTTAGCATGCTTTGTGGGAAAGTGCATGGTCTAAGACATTCAGGAAGTTTTAAAATTATATCAGTAGTATAGCCATACAAACTCAAGCACTTATTATTGCCATATATGGACTTACATCAGAGAGGACTTGATTACTCTGTGTACTCTTAGTAGTAGCATTGGTTGACTGATAGTACACAATCAGTCGTGGACGTTGAATAATATTGAGATCCTGTCCAGTGACAGTGAAATTAGTCCCACCACTACAGTAACAGAAAATTATCAAACAATAATGAACATCAAATAGACTAAACTAGTAAAGTGACCAACAACTTCTTATACTTTTAATTTCAGTGTTACTGATCTTAATGAACTTACGATTTAAAGAAGAACTGTGGTGTAATGCCTCTATATATGGGATCATTTTCATAATCAAATCCGATTGCGTCAACATCGCTCCCATCAATAACCAAACTGACAGTACCCTGACCTCTAGTGGTTGTGGACGAGCTCCTTTGAGATATGCATCTGAGTTGAGTAGCATTATACCTGTCAGTTTGTAAATAACAAGTTGAATAAGGTACATCAAAAACTAATGATCTCTCTTGCCTATATGTTTTCATTCTGTGTGCATAAACATTCCCCCCTCCTTCCCTCTCTCTCTCCCTTCCTTCCTCTCTCCCTCCCTCCCTCCTTCCCTCCCTCCGTCCCTCTCTCTATCTCTCTCCCTCTCTCCCTCCGTCCCTCCCTCCGTCCTTCCCTCCTTCCCTCCCTCTCTCTCTCTCTCTCTCTCTCTCCCTTCGTCCCTCCCTCCGTCCTTTCCTCCTTCCCTCCCTCTCTCTCTCTCTCTCCCTCCGTCCCTCCATCCCTCCCTCTGTCCTTCCCTCCCTCCCTCCCTCTCTCTCTCTCTCTTTCTCTCTCACTCTGATAGCTCACTGTATTTCATTTTCTCTTTCTATAGCACATGGTTTTCCTGCTAATGTTATAGACCTCTCGTTCCCAATTCCAAGATTAACTCCTTTAATAACTACATGAGTACCACCTGATATTGGACCCACAGCTGGTTCAGCCGGCCTAGGATTCAGATTTGGTAACTAGTAATAACAATAATAAATAAATAAATACAATTTTAACAATACAACAATGCTCACTAAAAACTGGAAAGGACGGCTTGAGTTTACAGTAGCATAAGTGAAAGTTATAGAAATTTTCTCAGTGATGACACCAGTTTCTGTTGGACCAGTTTTACACACAATTCTAAAATTAAAAAGACAATTATAATAGAATATTAATACAAATGATCTCATATATACCTCTTTCCTGGCAAGTATTGGCTGCTAAGGTGTTCGCAAACAACACTTCCAATGAGAATTGTTTTTACTTGCTTTACATCAGCTCCTAAATTAGTTCCTTCAATCGTAACGTTAGTACCACCACGAATTGGACCAGCTATTGGTGAAAACTATAGCACAAGAGGAATTTAAGACTGAGTGAGTGATTTTAATAGATAGTGTAAATATAATTAGATAAGAAAGTGTGTACAAATTGTGAGTAGGTGAGCAGTTGTGCATGCAAAGTGAGTATATAATAATAACATTACTAGCTTACATAGTCTAGGAACAAAAATTACACATGTACATGTATGTTAAAAAGGATAACAATAAAGTTGGGAGTGTAGTGATTCTTACATCATCGATGACAGGTCTCTCACACTGGTTAACACTATTGATTCCTACTAATTTTTGTTCGCAGTTGGTCAGTTTAACCGGTTTGCATGAGTCAAGGTCTCTGCAGTAGCCACACTCAAACTTAGACTCAATACTCAAACACTGCCCACAATTTTCACCCATTAAACGGCACGAGTAGAATATAACTACATGATGACGATGATAACAATAATAGCATCATCATAGTCATGATACGTCATCATACCTTTTGAATCATTCAAGTTATCAATTATGATTCTTTTATCAGAGAAAGAGACACGGACCTCAAGCGTTGAATTGTAGGGTTGAGTTTGTGTATCAAGACTAACATTAAACTAAGCACATTATAATAATATGATACCATTCATACACATTTACTAACCTCTGATTTATCACAGGTTACATTCCTAGCACCAACTGTAGCACTTAAAACAAACAACTCATTGTCTTGACTGTCTTTCAGTATACAGTCAACAGTATAAGCACTCTGATCGCTATACACTTCAAGGTTATTAGCCTCTATGACTAGAGACTGAGTCAAGTTCACATGAACAAGGTAGTCAGTTAGATTAGGTGGTGATCTAATGAGTGGACAATTGTCAATAGCTGTACCACTCTACAATGAGAAATATTAAGAGAATGATAACAGAATGTGTAGGATATACAAAGACATACCAGTGAGCCCTGGCATGATGAAAGTGGAGATACACAGTTATTGTCAAAGGGGCACCAGTTACAAGCTTGCCTTGTGCTCAGACAGGATGAACAGCTATACAAGTCACAATATGTTATCAAACACTCCAATTGACCTCTCATTAGGTGTAAACCTTACCTTGACGTTATGGAGCAATTTGTGAATGATATTTGTTGCTCAGAAGTTAGTGAAATGATAGTGACTCCATTAGCAGTTAGAGACACAACTGATAGAATGGTGTCTGAAAGAAAGGATCATACATATAATGTAACCTTACTACAAACCACCACATGTACAACTACAAACCATTTACTATGTACACTACAAGCTAATCTGGCATTCCATTAGACACAATACAGTAAATGCCATTTACCATTTGTGGCTGGGCATACATGTACCTATCCCATTACTGATTGTGTCAAGACTAATGTTTCTAATGTAACTACATCCACTAGTGATAGTATACTCTTACTGCACTAGTACACTGATATACATAATAATCATTATCAGTAGTGGGATATTACATTACATTAGACCTCACCTTCTCCATTAAACCCAGGTAGCTCAGAAGAGGGTGGTAGATCACATGTCACTGTCTCATTTTGACTGTCAATGCTGGCAGAGGTTGTTGTACTTGGCATTGCATCACTTCCAAAGTTATATACACACGAATATGAAATCACACCGGGTATGTTTGATACATTCAATGACAACATTGGCAGTGTCTATAATGAATTAGAAACTATTAAATTCACATCAAAACTAAATACAAATACATGACCACATCCAAGGGGCTTTAATTAGGTACCAGATGGTGTTAGTATTGTAAAGCGAATAAGATGAATGTTCCTGCACTTAATTTGTTGCATATTTGTGGTGACATAAACTTTACTATAGGAGTCACGCTGACTACACTACATTGATAATGTCAGCAATATGATTATTATGAATAACAATACTAACAAGTATGGTCAGTGCCATATCCTGTTGACTTACCATAAATGTACATTTCTTATCACACACTGCCACACAACCACAAAGCAACTTTAAAATGTGTAGGAGTTTATCACTGGGGATAATGGGGAATACTTAAGCCATACATAAAATACTATACCTTTTTGTATGTATGTAATATATATTTCAGACTACTAATAATAGATATTAGTCTGTTAGCTGATTTTATGTTTTTAAAGACTTAAAATGCTACCACAATTCGTGTAATATGAGGCTGATCCAATTCAAAAGACACAACAGAGGCCAATAGGATATTCTTTAACAAAACCACAACAATATTAGAAGCCATTTCCTCTCACACACAAGCTATTGATCCATCAAATACTCACTCGTAATCACTAGAAGTGTTTCATCACTCTTTTAGGCGTTTACAACCCAATAGAATAATAATAATAATAATAATAATAATAATAATAATAATAATAATAATAATAATAATAATAATAATAATAATAATAATAATAATAATAATAATAATAATAGTGATTTGCTATACACATAGTATTAGGTAGTATTCTTACATTTGTCATCAACTGGTCAGTGTATATAACTGACGGAGACACATCATTGATCCTTGGGCAATAGCTAGTAGTTTTCTGCCATATAGCTGGGGTTGTGGTACAGTCGTCCAATTTCGTACAACTACAGTGTGGAGTGAATGCGGATAAAAAAGTGAGTAAATGAGTGAAGCTTATACAGAAGAGGATAAGGCATGAGTACAACATTGTTCCATAATTTGAACAAGCATTTTTGGCAATAGGAATGGATGTGCCCAAAATAAATTGGATTCCGGGCTCTGTCACGCCAAAAACAAATAAATAGTCAAGATTTTTTAATCAATTAGTAATGACCACACAACAATTAATACTATCAGTGCAATATGAGTGTATGTGGAGTGAAATATGCCTGGAAATTCTGATCATTCTACTCTAATTAGTGAATCACATGTCTCTTAACTTACGAGCTGGAAAGCACACACCATCCACAGATAGGATCACCCGACTCCACACACGAATCACACGATGTAAAACTATCACAGACATTTACCGGACGCTTGACAACCTAAATAATAATAATAATAATAATAAAGAACTGAAACCCTAACTACTCTCCCAAATAATAATATAATTACAGTTACTATAGGATTGGCTTGTCGAGCGTGACTCAAACAGGATTAGGAAAGGACTAGTACACCACAGTTATTTAAGATATGCTGAGTCCTCTTAACTTATAAGACTTTGTTGCTAAACACATTATTAATATTCCCATGACACAAAAACTAAACTGTGACTAGTTACACTTGCACAAATTGTTTATTTTGTTGTTAAAAATGACTTTTACTCCTTACATAGCTCTCAGATTGTATGTATAGATATTCACTGTCGGAAGAGAACCCGATTTTATCAACTTGTTCATTAGTAGCCAAAGTGATGTTACGAATTGGTATCAATGAATTGCTAGCATTGAAATAAAACTGTAAAATGAATATAATAATTTGTTATTCACAATCAATACTGACTTGTTCAATTGTTTGATCAGAACCAGCATATAAATACACTATGTTTTCATATGCAAGACTATTAAGAGAGAATATTTGAGATGTAAAAGCAACCCTCTCTCCAAATGTAGGATTATCTACTTCAAATGGAACAATAAACTGTCCTGGTCTATTGCATACAGTAATTGCCTATTACAATGATTCATTATTATAATACAGGTAAGACTAGTTTCACTTACATCTTTCTTATCTTGTTCTAAATTAGTCGGGCAAGCATCACTACCGCTAAACCTTTTTATAGACAATGTACCCTGCCCATTTATACATGAGGATAGCTTATCGTCCATTCTTGTATTAATTTCTGATACACTAAATGTACATATGATGTTAGTCTTGCCACTTCTCATTGATGCCATAATCATTGATTCTCCATTACGCTGTACAAAGGTAGCTGCTGTAATTGAATCAGGAGTCGTCATTTCATCACACTGTAGCTCAGCCTCAGTGTATGTTGTAAGCGTTAAAATATTATCCTCCTCAAGTCCAGTATCGTTGCTACATATTCTTGCTATTTGTAGCTTAGAGCCAAAATCGGGAAGATGAAACACATAATAGACAAATCCATTCTGCTGAAAATTAGTCAGAAATTTTCTAGGAAAATTAATAACACGTTCTTGTTGACTTCCAACTAGCATAACTTGTAGTTGAGAACCAGAGGGTGAGTACTGTAGCTTACTAATTGATGAGACTATTTGTGAATCAGCATCTTTACCAACAAAAAAGTTCCTGCCTTCAGTATAGAGCCCTGGCATGTCAGGTGTGGTTGGGAATAGGAATGTTGAAGGAGTAGGGCTAGTAGAAACACTGACTGTTACACTGAGATCATTAGGATTGAGAAGAAAACACTCTTGCTCCTGACAAGAGAGAATGTTCTGAGTGAATCCAGTATCATTGAGGGGTAACAGTAGTTGATTAGTAGTTGTGTTCAGCGGCAGAGAAGAGTTCACTGTTAAATTGTCAGAGTTTAACTTTATAATGTGACTGGTTGTACCAATCAGGAGGGATCCATCACTCAGCACAAGGCAAGTAGAGAGAGTGTCATTTTGTAACTGATACTGTGAGATAGCATTACTTGCTCCTAATGACAGACTCAGACTATACAAGAAGAATAGGAGAAGAACAGAGAGGAACATGATGACTTCTATAGCGTGGAATAAGGAGCACTGATTACAAGGCACATAATAAGATGACTGTGTGAAGATTTACAGGATGTAAGTCAAAGAGCTAAAATAGACCACTTCCTGTTGTAAAATTATTGATTAGATCACGAACTCTTGATTTTCTGTTATATAGATCTAGATAATTAATTATAAATATATAGAATCTACTTATTGTTGAAATTGAAAGTCTAAATTATGTATAAATTTATGTATCATTTTAAAATAATTTGAAAGTTGAGATTCTTTCATATTCAAGGACTAAAATTGAATGACATTGTCATCAATTTTGTGTCTAGGCAATATAAAGCTACAGTTTTTCTCTTTTTTTCTACTAATAGTTACCATTGGATCCTGCAATGCAGCAAGAATGTCAATGTCTCAGTATATCATTTGATGTAGGACGTGATATTATTCATAGATAATCTACATCAAAGGTGTAAAATATAGAAAAAGAATTTTTAATAGTACATGTACTATAGTTCTGTCATGATCATCAGAAATGGCTCCAAAAAATTATGATTTTGTCTAATACATATAATGCTTATCTATGCTACATTAAAATTAGATCTATGTGCAAAGCATAAATTTCAAAAGTTGCTCAAAAATCCGGCCAAAAACTACAGTATATGTTTTTATCAAACCATCTACACAGTCACAATATATAATAATTATCAAACCACAGTATATCAAGCCAAAGTTCCTGTACTACAGTACAGAAATTTTTTGCCAAATTTTGCCAAAAATGGCAAAGAAAGAATTTTCCATATTGATAATTTTTCATATATATGTATGCATATACATGTTTTTATGTTGTGTAGCAGGTTTGAGCTGATTCAGATCAAAATATGAATTTTTTATGAATTCTCCAAAATCAAGCTAAAGTCCCTGTACTACAAGTACAGGAATTTTGGCCAAATTTTGCCAAATTTTTTTCTGATGCATATACATGTTCTTATTTTGTGTGGCAAGTTTGATTGATTCAGATCAAAATTAGATTTTTTTAATTAACTTTTTAAGTTACTCAAAAATTGGGCCAAAGTCTCTGTACTATAGTAGAGAAACTTTGGTTAAATTTTTCCAAAATAACTTAAAGAATATTTTCTATTTTTATTATTTTTTCCCAATACATTATACATGTTCTTATGTTGTGTAGCAAGTTTGAGCTGATTATGATCAAATTTTATTTTTTATGAATTTTAAGGTTGCTCCAAAATTTAGCCAAAGTCTCTGTACTATACATAGTACAGGGATTTTGGCCAAATTTTGCAAAAAATAACTTTTAAAAATTCTTTACTTTTATAATTAAAAAAAATAAATACTATGTTGTTTATAAATTTTGTGCTGATTTTGATTGAAATCATATTTTTTACAATTTTTAAAAGTTACTCCAAAATTGGTTAAAGACCATAGGTCATGTAGTACAAGAATATCTACATTAAAATATTGTCACAAATCACTCTATCTATTGAATTTAAGTAGAGCTCTGTTACTTATTAACTGAGACAGACCATAATTATTGCATCAATGGCCTAATTATGGCCAGATTTGAAAATTCAGTGCTGTACATTAGATAATTAAAAATACTTATGGAAGCAAAATGCATTATTAGCTACTAAATTACTGCTAAGAGCTAGTTTTCTTGTTAACATTGCGGTCACAAAAGGTTTTCACAAACATTGTATTGCATATTACTTGGTCACAAATATGCATTTAAGTTGATATACATCTCTTAAAAATTTATGGCATTATTATGTCATGCTTTACCCATTATTGTTCACACTGCACCATAATGGTATTATACCTTTGCCAATAGTTTGACACAAAGTCAGCAAAGTGAGCCTACTTACAAACGTATAGCTATGTTAAAATTCTCAATTTAACTATTAGTTCTATTGACTAAACATTAGCTTAAGGCATTACATCTAATCTATCTAAATTATATGTCAAGTGCAATAATAATCATTTAGATTAAACGTCGTTTCATTATGATAATAACAATAACAAGAAACAAAAACAATACTATAAATTAACTATAATTATCAACTCAAAATTCAGTGACAAAAATAACAAATAATAAGTAATAAATAAATAACAAAAAATTACAAAAATAAGAAAAAAATTAAAAGCAGCTCAGATTACTGGTAATGAATAATAATAAGTTGTTTCCATGGTTTCATTGCATACCACACCCACTGCATCCTCCACATTCCTCTTCCTACTAGTGTGAGAGGAACATGCACTCACTCTGTTGATTTATAGAGAGATAGCAAAGAGAAAGGGACACAAAATGTCAGGAGGACTTTTCTGCTGTCTTTTAGTTCTCTGTATCTTGGGAGGAGTCAGATCTCAGTCTCTCATCTCGTCTACTCTCTCTAGTACCGTCACCTATTTAGCTGTTAGTAGTAATGGAGTCTTTGTTAGTACTGCCAATCAAGTTCACCGGTTCTCGTCTACCCTACAACAGTTAGAGGGCTCTCCTGATACTCCCGGTGGTACTATTGATGGAATAGCTAGTACACCTGATGGCGAATGGTGTGTAGTGTGTACTGATGATGGTGGTGTAACGTGTTCTGTTCTTAATGGATCTAACCTTCAAGCTCCTGCTAATAGAACAGTGGATCTTAACAGTGGTACTGCTACTAGTCTAGTTGTGTTTACTGTAGATGGTAACAGCTTTTATACTGGGAGCTTTGTTAATCCTCGTATTCTATATCATCAGTATTGGTTTGCTGGTAGCACACTGTCAAGAGCTACTAATCCTGCAAATCAAATAGCTTCATTCACTCGTGTATTTGTGAGTGGTTTCTTTGCATCAGGATATGCTTATTATGTTGTGATTGATCCTCCACCAAGTGGCAACCAAAATCGGCTCCGTATAATAAGAGTGTGTAATGACAGTGCAGTTGACAGTGCAACTGATAGTTTCAACAATCAATATGAACTGACTTTAGGTTGTGATGGTAATAATGCTTTCTTCAATCCTACTTTACGTGGTGTATCAGTTATTAATGAAGAGACATTGTTAATTGCAATAAGTGCTGATTCAAACGATATATGTTCATACAGTCTGTCTCAGATTAACTCTTTAATGGATACTGCTTATCAGTCATGTGTAATTAATGGTACTGGTAATAAGAATATCGTTTGGCAGAGCTCTGCATCATGCTCAGGAGGATTAACTGGAAGTATTGTGAGTTAAACTTTTATAGTATTGTAATAATTATACCTCCTAACAGTGTAGTATATCAGATTCAAGAGGTGCTAATCCAGCTCCAGCAGTTGGTGTATCAAACCCTCTCACTTCCACTGGTCTAGTTACTAACAATACTATACTGACTGGATTAACTGCTATTGTTGGAGTGTCCATTGATGATAATGATTTTATTTATTTCGCATTTTCAGTGAATAGCAATAATTACATCAATAAGGTTAGTAGTTGGTATATACATGTAGTCTTAATTACAGTTTCATATAAATCCTACAGTATCACTTGGTCAATAGCACAACCCTTACATTTGTGTCCGAAGTTACACTGACCTCTTCAATCACAGTACTAAAGTGGACCCAAGGCTCTGAGTATGTGTATGGTATCAGTGGTTCTAATGTAAGTATAATGATAATGATAGGGTGTTATTGTTGAGTCTATTCCATGTACAGGTCATTGCATTAAAGATAGAGGATTGTTCCAGTGCTACTAGTTGCTCTGAGTGTGTTAGTTTAGGTGATCCATTGTGTGGTTGGTGTATGATAGAGAACAAGTGTTCACGAAGACCATTTTGCCAAGACAGTTATCAAGAAAGACGATACCTAACACAAGGAGACAGTAATAATTGCTTTGATACAGTATCTATTAATCCAAGTACTTATGTGATAGATACAGAGCAGGAACCTCATCAGGTATGTATCATTAACAACAGAACAGTATGACATTCCATTTCTCTTTAGGTTAATTTAACATTTTCACCAGCTCCTCCTCCTCCTACAATTACCGAGGAAGAATATTTCTGTGTATTTAATGGTATCATGAGTCCATTGGAACTATCAATGGGTACTAATACTGGTAGCTGTTCAGTAGAAGGCATAGTGTCTCAGGTCACTGGCATACAACTAGGTAATATAATATTACCTATTCATAACCTGACCTCCTCTTTCATTTCTGTCTGTATTTACATTTTCTCTCTTTTCAGATACTACTTTTAGTATATACAGCAATAGAACTAATGTCAATTTCTATACAAGACCCAGTAACTATACTTTTTACAACTGCCCTACAGCAACAGAGTGAGTTACGAGCCATAGAGTAACGTTGTATTAGCATGTTTAAATTAATTATTTAATAATAATTGTGACAACTAAGATGTTGGTATGTCCTGTCATCTCCTCTTATGATGACAACCAGTAGTACTATACTGTGGGAATGTAGTAAGCCAGAGCTCAATTAGGGGCCAGCTACTGAGTCAGTTTACTACTAACAAAGTGTGTCAGCAGCACCACTTGTATTATCAATAGCATTATTTACCTTTACCAATAATCTACTGGACAGATCTACATGTACACATGTAGATTGACCTATATCTTGCCCAACATGTTGTTCCATTCTCTCTGCCAGTGTATATTACAGAGTCTGTGTACACAAGTTAGCCACCATTACATACCACACTCATCATGGGCCAATATTGAGTGTGTATTAGCTCAGTTGTGTACCTGGGGCTTCACTGGGGAGAGTGTGTGGCTTGTAAGGGCTACTTGTGACAATGTTCCAGTACATAGGATCAGCATAGTGATAATTGATTGACAGATTTATATACCCACAGCAGCTATTCCCACATCTGCCATATCAATTCATTAATCAGTTGTACAGTACATGTACATGTACCTGCTTATGCCTTGTATAGTGGTGTAGTGTGTGTATGGTTGGTCAGGTGTTCAAAGGATGTTGTATCACTGATCAACCTCTCCTTCCTAGTTTGGCAACCTTATCATCTCAAACATGTCATTTATGTAATGCTATATTATTGTTTTTACTCTTAAAAGGAACACAAATTCCATGGACATTACTTTAATTATGGGTATTGGATGTCAGTCCTAACTGCCTCTATAGCCTGTTTGTGAACATGGACACATTTGGCAGTGTTGTTTGTGGGTTGATGGATCATTAGTACACTCCTACACATTTCATGAGTGTGTAGTTATTACTAGCTTTGTCACTAGTGCTAAGAGTTGTACAAAATTGGCTAATTCGGCAGTATTGATATGTGATGAATTGTTCTCCAATCTCATTAGTCAAATATGTGATGAATTGTTCACTCTCTCTATCTCTCTCTTTTTTATTTCACACCCTCTCTCTCTCTCTTCTATTTCCTTTTGTCTCTTTATTAGGTGTAGTGCATGTCTTCAAAGTGAAACTTGTGGTTGGTGTCAGTTGGATTTTACATGTACTGGACAGAACTCATCATGTACTACTGGTGAATGGTTCAATGTAAGACTTCCATATTCTTATACCATGTGTGTTACATGTTCATACTCTTTATAGATAAAAGATGGTGGTGATGCTAGGAGCTTCTGTCCTTTCTTAGAGCCTAATTCAGTTACATCTGATGGTAGATATACTCAAGCAGCTAATGTTGTTAAGAATTTAACATTATCAACTAGCAATACTGGAGTATGTTATACCACACATACTGTTAATGTTTGTACACACTTTTAAATAGTAGTGGCTATTTTTAGTAACACAGCTTGTCTGACCTTCTATCCTAATCAATACACACCTCATGAATATTATACAAATTTTAAGGAATAAGTGTATTTATTTAGTGACCACACATTATGTAGTGCCCTAATGCCAATAGCACTTGCTGAACATCAGTTGAATATCAGTATCATTATCATTGTGTGTTGTTGTGTGTTATTTTATAGTCTCCTCCTGGCCTCACTTATGAGTGTGTGTATGGTACCATTGCTAACCGAACTGCTACTGTTAGCAGTGACAATAGAGTGACATGTATTAATAATCCTGGGGTGAGTAACAGTAGAATATTTAGTAATAATTGATTAATAATTATTATTCAATAGTTAATGATTGGAGGTAGTACTCAAAATGTCTTGTTAAGTCTCACACAAGTTTTCAATGGAAATAGATATACAATAGAGACTAATGCTCCTACAAATCTCAATGGTAATTATAATGAATATTATTTTATTTATTGTTTATAATTATGATCTACAGTGACCTTGTATGACTGCCCTTCATTGGCCCTTGGTTGCTCATCATGCTTAGCACAGAGAATTGGTACTGGATTTAACTGCAGTTGGTGTACTAGTAATAACCAATGTAGAGACATTAGTGACTGTAGTGATAGTCCTGTCATTAGTACAGGAAGCTGTCCTCAACCAAACATTACTGACTTTAATCCTAAGACTGGTCCCCCTAGTGGTAGAATAACCATCATTATTAATGGAACTAATTTGGGAACACAACGCTCTGACATAGAATCTGTTATGATTGGTAGTAGAAACTGTGTTGTTGGTGAATATGAAGCAGGAAAAAAGATAATGTGTACTATTGATCCTGATGCTAGTGATAATATGGACAGGAATGAGACTATTATGATAAGAGTAACCAGATCCAGTGGTAGTGTGACTGTCAATAGTATGGATATAGCTCAATTCCAGTTCTTAACACCAGTCATTCGATCAGTGAGTCCTACATTTGGTCCTTTCAGTGGTGGTACTAGAATAAGAATACAAGGTACTAACTTTGATATTGGTAATAAAGAAATGACTAAAGTAATGCTGAGAGAATCATCATCAAGAAAGAAGAGAAACACATGTCCTGATGTTAACTGTGATATCACGTAAGTGGGGATGAAATTGAATCAATCATATTTATTGTGTACATTGATAGGAGACTTACTAATACTGAGATCAACTGTCTTACTGGTAGTATTAATGGTAGTGAATGTACAAGGAATATAATAGTATCAGTCAATCAAGCTTTATTCTCTAATACTAGTATCAGTTATGAATATAGACCAGATCCTACATTTAATAGTATCAGTCCTGTGATCACGATACCAGCGTAAGTATATATACTAGTAGATACATGCTCTTTATTTCTCCCTCCTTTTCAGTGGTGGTATTAAACTAGTATTCTCTGGTGATAACTTAAATTCAGTTCAGTCTCCTACTATTACTATCAATCATAGTGGACTGGGTTCTAGTAGTACTGAGGTCAGTATAGTATTCTTGTTTTATAGTAATGCATCTCTTTATACAGCCTTGTGTCTTTAATGTTAATGGTACTACACTGACATGTAATGCTCCTAACATTACTAATGTGGCCAACAGTGACTATGGGATGAATATTGAGTACATCCTAATGTTAGATGGAGCAGAGTCACCTGATTACAATGATGCAGCTCTGAGACTGACACTGCAACGTAATCCAATGTTTACTGGCATTGATCCTGAGTCAAGATCTATATCAGTTGATGACATTAATGATATTACTATTAAAGTAAGTTGTAGTAATTAATGTACATGTATAAACTAATATACTTGCTTTGTTAAAAAGGGAATGAACGTTGAATCAGTGAGGCCATCTGAGATTAACATTACGTTAAGAGATAATTCTGATGTACATGTATGTACTGTTAGAACAAGTTCTAATACTGTAAGCTATAACATAGCAATATGTAATCATTAATGTCAAATACTGATAATAGGAGATTACTTGTAGACCACCAAATAAAGAATCTGGTACCACACTATCAGTAACAGTAAGATATTAATAATACAATGATCAGCTAGTGTAATTGTCCATTCATAGGTTAGAGTAGGAAGGAACCTTGTGTTTCCTCCTAATGGAACCAGTGGTCCTGAATGGACACTAACCTATACCCGTGCCTCAGACCCTGGTAATGTGCCGCTGATTGCTGGAGCTTCTGCTGGTGCTGTTCTTGTACTAGTTGCAATTGTTCTCCTTATCCTTATCATTCCTCTCGTTTACTGCTTGAGGAGACAAGCCAAGCAGCAGGACATGCGTGTCACTCATCTTCTCTCGCAAATGGAGAGTATGGAGCTGGATATGGCTGACCAGTGCAAGCAAGGTAAAACAGATACATACATGTACATATACATGCCTTGTACTCGATAATATGTTGAAACATGTATTTCCTTATTAGCTTTTGCTGAGTTACAAACTGATCTAGGGGAACTTGTAGCTGAAGATAGCTTAGATATGCAACAACTTCCTTTCCATGACTTTCCAACCTATGCCACTAAAGTTTTCTTTCCTGCAGCTAACACTAACCATCCTGTCCTCTCTCCCCCAAAGGTAATGGATGCTGCATGTATGATTGAGTTGTAATGTACATATTGCTATTTGAATACCAAAGAAGGCATTATTGGATTATCAGGATCATTACTTTACTATGTCACGTGCACATGTATGATGTATTATCACTACATAAAGTAGCTATGGTTAATTTGCTATGTCATGTGCAGATGTATCAATGATTACATACAGAAAGTTCATGCAGTGTAGCTATGGTTAACTTTGTGGCTCTTTTTTCATTGTTTGATCCTTGTGTGTCAATTTGTGGTTGTATTTATTACTCTCATGCCACACAAACCACATGCCATGGCCATTGCTTAGTACTTAGAGGTGATTACATCATTATTTATTGCTTTACATTGTACAGGTGCCCCATGGCATGACACACGACTCAATGTGTGTATTACTGGACGAGTTTAGGGAGCTGGTATTCGACAAGAAGTTTCTGGTAGCATTTATAAGGACACTTGAGTCCCGACCCAAGTTTAATCTACAGGATAAGTGAGTATTGCCCTTTACTATCTTGTGATGGTTGAATCATGTTATGTCACTAGGAGTACAATGGCTTCGCTATTGATGGTTGCTTGTTTAAAGGATATTTCCTATTCTACCGAGTGAGTCAATTATTATACTATTACTCAATATTATTCAATATTATTATTATGCCTACGTGTATGAATACATGTATGTACTGTATAGGGTACTTGAAGCTTTGTTGGGTAACCTGATTCGTCGGAGTCTCTCCAATACTAAGAACCATCCCAAACTATTGTTAAGAAGAACAGAGTCGGTTGCAGAGAAGCTGCTGACCAATTGGTTCTGTGTCACGCTCTACCCGTACATGCTAGAGTGTGCCGGTGCCCCACTGTTTGTTCTATTTAAAGCAGTGAAGGCCCAACTGGAGAAGGGGCCAATTGATGTTATTACTGGCGACGCCAGGAACTCACTCTCCGAGGAGAAGCTACTCCGGCAGCCACTCGATTTCAAGGTTTGTTTATTTGTCTCTTTATCTTTGTGATTCTTTGTCCTCCACGCTCATTCTGATAATGCTATTCTCTGGATATTTCCCAGAGACTGCACGATTCATGTTTATCATATTAAGCAATACATTCTGCTTGCTTTCAGTTTTCAAGTTTATGTTTGTCCCGCCTTTTAAGCAGAATTGAGAAACATACATACAGAACTGCTGTCATCAATCCATTGTGTGTTGATATGTACCCGTGCGGTGTTTATTTATTTCTGTATATGTTACTTAAAGTTTCCTCTACGCCCATCTGCTCTGTACACACACACACACACGTATACAGGTAATGGAGTGTGAAGTAGAGATGGGGAATTCACATACGCTGCTGAGGCATACAAGGAAAGAGGATGCTGGCGTTGAGCCAGATCCATCTAATGCTGATGACATACAGACCATCAAAGTAATGGACACTGATAGCGTGAGTCAAACGAAAGAGAAGCTACTCGATTTCATTTATGGGAACCGCCCAGTCTCAAAGCGTCCTTCAATAGCTGAAGTTGAATTAGGTATGGAGGAGGACATTGTAGTAATGAAGAGAGAGTGTTTTGTATAATGATGTGATGACTTATAAATGTAGTTTCTCACCATTATGTAATGTCTCAAGTTAATGTGCTAAGTAAACTAACAGATGTGTATTATTCACAGAGTTGTGTAGAGGTAATGCTGGAATACCTCTCAAAGATCAGGACACTACTAGCAGGAGAGAAGGAGAGTGGATGAGGATCAATACGCTAGGTCACTTCAATATCCTTGAAATGGTTAGGCTTGTTATTGTATTTCTAGTCTACTCTAGTGTGTACTGTGAATTTTTTATGATAGGCTGAAGCTGCCATAGCCGATCCTAAGAAGCCAATTCCTCGTTTTAGACTTACAGCACGGAATCAGACACTTAGTCCTGGTAGACCAGTTAGCGGAGCAGGTAATTAGCTATGCACACACATTACATTGTGCTAGGTTATTTTTAGTATTACTAATGTGCTTAACTGCTTATGTTTCTCGTATCATGCCCTTTACACTGTGTATGTATGATGTCACATTCATTACTATATGGACTACTATTAGTATTACACATGTACAATACAATGAATGCATGTACATGTACATGTATTATTGTTAATATTGATTTAACTTATGTTGAGACTAGAGAGAGAGAGAGAGAAAGCATAATAGAGTATAAGTAGCAATATTGTGTGTGCGTGTGTGTGTTATGTTGTGTATAAGAGAAGAGTTAAGTGCCTTACAGTGGATTACAGTGGCAAAGGTCATGCACCTTGTGAATAAACAATCCACTTTTAACATTGTTATTTTTCAGTTGGCTACGATGTTCCTGGTACTATAGTAGCGAGTGCTTCTATTACATCTCAGACGTCATTGCTAGCTTCAGTTAATTCGCCCTCATTTGATACCAACACGAGATTATTTCATTTGGTAAGCTGTGTAATGATGTTCATTAGTAAACCACAAAAGAATTTACTACTTCATTTTTGTTATGACTATCCACCCAAACCTAATGCATGAATGAACTAGACAAAATTAATTAAGTGTACAGTTTAGCACATGTAAAGCAATGAGATTAATACCTGTTAGTATGCTCCTACATGTACATGTATTTATTTGTTCAGGTTAAACCGGAGGCCAACGAAGGAGATCAAAAGATTGTTTCTGAAGTGTTCCTTACTCGATTGCTATCAACTAAAGTACATATGAATCTATTTAAAAGGATTTAATAATAATGATATAATTTCTTTTCGTAGCGTATTATCCAGTCTTACGTTGATGATCTGTTCCATGCTATATTCTCCGTTCCTGCTGGTAAATCACTGCCTAGAGCTATCAAGATAGTCTTTGATTTCTTGGACGCACAGGCTGCAGAGAATGGGATTACTGATCCTGAGATACTCCACACTTGGAAAACTAACACGTGAGTCTAGAAAGCAAAAGCATGTTAAGTGTTGAGTTGTCAATTGGCGCCACCTGTTTCAATTTTTGCATTTAGCTGTACACAACTTAGCGATACACCATCAATGTATACTGTATGGTTACTATGGTATTATCTTCATTTACTTTAATTCTTTTTTTTTCGCAGTCTACCCTTAAGGTTCTGGGTTAATCTAATTAAGAATCCAGACTTTGTTTTTGACATTAACAAGTCTGCAACAATAGATGCTTGTTTCACTGTCATAGCTCAAGCCTATATTGATGCTTGCTCTACTGCTGAAGTTCGCTACACTAAGGACACCCCTTCAGCCAGACTCCTCTATGCCAATGAAGTTAAGCAATACAAGGAGGAGGTTTTACAGTAAGTGAAATACAACGTATATTGGGAAAGCTATTACTATTTATTACGTATATTGGGAAAGCTATTACTATTTATTTTGACCTTTTGTTTGTTTATTGTCACGTTCAGTTTATGCCTGTTTACCAAGTGTTGTTGCTTGTGTTTGTTTTCAGTTGAATAGTGTTCAATTGTGTTGCATAGTTTCCTCATATTATAAATATTTTGAAGTCCAATGTGTCACATCCTACGTGTATTGTACTATTACTTTTAAAAAATTAAAATCTCTCTAAAATTATTTTTGACGAAATATCCTGTACTACCATCGGTAACATGTGATGAAAAATGGCCCAGAGTTTTCACTTTAGTACCACTTCCAACAATAATTTAGAGCATCAAAATAGAGGCAGTGGGAATTTTATTGCTTTAATGAAAACTATGATAGTTGCAGTTATTTTTAATATCTTGAACTAGCGAAGATTGATTTATCTAATGAAGTAAAGTAGGTGATTGACACCCACTTAATGGGGCGGAGCTGAGTTTTTACCAGCTAAAACTCAGAGGTTTTGATATGCTTAGCATATCATAATGTGACATTGGCTCGATTTTGGAGCAACTTTAAAAATTGGTAAAAAAATTAAATTTGATTGGAATCAGTCCAAACTTTCTACACAACATAAGAACATGTATATGTATCAGAAAAAAATATTAAAAATAAAAAATTCTCTCCTAGTCATTTTTGGCGAAATTTGACCAAAATCCCTGTACTATAGTACAGGGACATTGGCACGATTTTGGAGCAGCAACTTTAAAAATTCATAAAAAATTAAATTTGATTGGAATTATCCCAAACTTTCTACACAACATAAGAACATGTATATGTATCAGGAAAAATTATAAAATTGAAAAATTCTCTCCTAGCCATTTTTGGCGAAATTTGACCAAAATCCCTGTACTATAGTACAGGGACATTGGCTCGATTTTGGAGCAACTTTAAAAATTCATAAAAAAATTAAATTTGATCGGAATCAGCCCAAACTTTCTATACAACATAAGAACATGTATATGTATCAGGAAAAATTATAAAATTGAAAAATTCACTCCTATTTATTTTTGGCAAAATTTGACCAAAATCCCTGTACTATAGTACAGGGACATTGGCTTGATTTTGGAGCAACTTTATTTATAAAAAAATTCATTTTTAGATTATAATCAGCAACACAATATCAAAACATGTATATGTATCAGGAAAAAAACAACTTCAATCCATTCATTGATAGTTGATTACAGTGACACCTTTATTTAGGTATTACCGTGACATCATGGCCCAACCTCAACCAACAGCTGAAGATAATAAGAGTTACTTTCAAGAAATGGCTGAGGTATATATTAATTTACATGTGAATCACTCAACTTATAATGTAGATGAATTATAAACTTGGGGGGATTTTTAATTATACCATTTGCCAAATGATTAACTTTAACAAAAACCTTTACCATATTTACAATTTTCACCGAAAAAATACATTTTTAATTGACGCTCTTTTTATCATCACACAGAATTACTTCCAAAGCTTTGAATCAAAGGAAGGACTGCACTTCCACTCTGACAGTGCACTCTTAGAGATATACCGATATGCTATTCAGTATGGCGACGATATCATGGAGACTTTGACTGAAGAAAGACTCACTCTTATGGGGGCTCAGTTTAACAGTCTGAGACAGAAATACAATGTGAACTCGTCTGCTATGTGAAGTGGAGGATTGCTATTAGCTTTAATTACATATATTCATGTTCTTAGGTGTAAATGCATTGATTGACAAAGAATAATTACTAGTCTTTTTGTCTGTGTTGTTTTTTGTATCGAGAGTCTTGATAAATGTATTGACTTTGTGTGTCTGTTGTGCATAAACTTTTGTTAGTATGTCTATTCCTTTTTTTTGCTGTGGTTGATTTTTGTTTTTATCCAGTAATTATTGTAAGCAGTAACAATTGTTGTTATCATTATTATTATTATTATTATCTTTATTATTGTTAGTGTTATTATAATGATGGTAGAAAACTTAACACTATCGCCCATTGGTAGCTTAACAGATCACAGCAATATTATGCATGTAACAACACTCAAGCTAACAAAATTGAAAAATAATAAAAATATGCATGGTTAAAGTTATTATAGAAATACATGAACAAAATCAATAGTTTTTTAATAACAAAATAAAAAATTCAGACTTCACAATTTAAAGTATTATAAAACACTCCAACACATTCCCCTCTCATAGATTCTGTTGCAATCACATCAGTACAGTAACAATGCTCCAATTAGCACAAGAACAATAACTAGCAACGGTGCGGAATTGACTGTGAAAGCACTGTCAGCAACTTCTCCTATAAAAAGATAATAAATAATAATAATAATAATTAGTGCCATTGCTATCAAAGAATATTAATATACATGTACATACCTTTTAGACTAATACTAATTGGATAATGGTCACTAACTGCTGCTGTCTATTATAAAAAATTAGAAAATAATTATAATAAAGATTCATACTTGTTGAGATGATAGCTGATATTGATTGTCAAACAGTACCACACTAGCACTTCCATTGACTATATAAGGAGTCAATGATGACCAAGTGATTATTCTACACAAAATACAATCAGAATGCAAGTATTATTCAAAATAGTTATTGTTATATATAATAATAATAAGTTTTTGTGTTTCCCCATAAATACTGTGTTTATAGTATCTATGGTTTAACTAATATTCTGGGTTCTATATAGTAATTCTTTTAATAGTTCCATTTGTACATTGGCACATGATGTGATGGACAATACTCAAACCTGTCATAAGCACAGTTGGTTGTTCCGGTTGTAGTATCAGTATCATAGCCTATCCACCAGGTGAAGCTAGTATTGACCACCAAATCAAGCGTATTGTATCTTGTTCGTGATAAATAGCTGCAGCCTGCATTCAGGTCACCTAATATGGCTCCATTACTAGTTGAGAATGCAGAGCTAGTTGCTTCAAAGACGTTATCAAGATGATTGATTTCTTCTGGAGCATCTGTTGGCTTTGTGTGACTGGCGATTAGGAAGAATGGTGGTATATCTATAAAGAAACCTTGTGAATCTATGGCTACACCATATAATCAAATGTACACTGTTATGAAACAAATATTAAGTTGTTGTAAAACTTAGATTGCCCGAATCTAAATATTCTGTCTACATCAAATCCTCTGTTGACATCCAATGAACAAACTAAATCTAGCAAAGCTACCTCACCCACAGATATGGACTATATGTATCCATGCCTAGTCTTCACTCAGTAATGCATATACCAACATGTATAGAATCAAATGGATGATCTTACTTCCATGATTTCTATTTAGAGTCCTGACTAGAACAGAGTAAGGCGGTCTCTCAAACATGTCACTGTTGTCAGGATATTGATAACTGTCTAAGATTTGTATCTCACTGGTCCTATATTGTGCGATGAATAATTTAATAACACGATATTGATTAGCAGGTTATACTTATAAAGGAAGACATATTGCTCCTTAACATGGCTTCTTCCAACTCTTTCACTAACTGAGTAATTATATCGTATCCCAGAGCTAGCAACAGCCCTAATGTACGCTGTAAATTGATAGTGATTAATAATCAAAGCACTAACTCGTTCAATTGTGATGCAAACCCAGGAAGAACTGTCTGACTGACATCAACCAGCTCAATGATTAGAATAAGATCATAGCCTCTCACTATCTACCGAGGCATTGCATTATATTTTGCAATAATAATAATAAAATGTGTTTTATAATACCTCGATAAGTGTATTAACCACCTCTTGATCAGAATACTTGGATCTTCCAAACTGTCTCACGTTAAAGGACAGCACATTAAGACCCTGTCCATTACACAGACCAAATAAAATGGCCAGAGAGACTAAAGCAGCTTTGTACATCTCTGCAGAAAGGTGAGCCACACCCACACATTTTTGCTCCAAACCACGCCCGCGAGGTAGATCTGGGTGTGGTTTTGTTAGAAGCTCCTCCTACGCATCACCACTAAACTTGCGACCGGTTTTAGTAGCAGCAGAGGCCATTACAAAGAAAGGTCTTTCTCTATTAGCTTTTCTTACAATAAAAAGGTTAGTTAAGCACGCTGTATAGTGAGGTTTAATTCCTCAATGCTTCCTTATGTAATTTCAATTATTCTTTTCTTTCTCCTTTTGCACAGACTATTTTTGATTAGTTTTAAGTGGAAGCCAGTTGGCCATGCCCGAAACGTCTCGTGAGTGTGTTGTGATACTACCTGATGACACGCAGATCACAATACCAGTACAGGTTAGCTAATAGTGGACTCATTGTAGGAGTGAGTCTGAGACTGTCTCTGTGTCTGTGTATCTGTAATACAATTCATATTGTGTGTGTGGGTGAAGATCAAAGGACTGATCAATGTACTAAGTCATAACATACCGTGTGTGGGTAATGGTATCAATTGTATTTATGTGTTTTTAAATCGAACCGGTCCTTATGACATCAAGCTCTGTGTTGGGAATTTAATAAGCAAATACATGCACACCCAAGACTTCATTACTCCTGTTTACTTCTCCCAGTCTATAATGTGATAATAGTATGTCTATACATGTACTCATTTATGCACACCCAGAGCTGTAAGCGTATTAGTACAGCTTTAGGAATGTGTTGTTGGCATGCAAAGTAGGTAGTTTTGATCATACCAAGAGCCTGGGGATAGTTTCTTAGCTCTAATCATAACAATTGCACCTGTTTATAGTGACCAGTTGGTGTGTGTAAGGGTGGATCACTCTAATTTGTGTGAGATTATCTTTTACTCACTATTATTGTGGGTTTCTTGGTACTGATTAATAATATAATATCACCTTTTGTGTGTGTGTTTGTGGGTGTGGGTGTGATTATTTACTATTTAGTGGTCCTACAATGGTTTATGATTGTTTGTTTATAAGCTTTGTGCGTGTAGTGTGTTTTCTCTCCATTGTTTTCAATACATTTATGTGGTTTTATGTGGTTGTAGTGTGCAGTGTAGCTTTAGATTCCAAACTATGGTTGGTATGTGTGTGTGTGTGTGTGTCGGTACTGATGAGGAGAAAAACAAGTAAAAGAGATTAATGGGGAAAGTTGCTTAATAGAAGAGTTACTATTATATTCATGTGCTCCATGGTTATTATTGTTAGCTGATCTATTAGCCATGGACACATCTTAGTCCATGTTTATCAACAGTAAACCAACCAACCAGTTAATGCATCACTACATTAGACTTCCATATAAGTTATAAGCTATAATGGGACACATGTCTATGCCCATTATTATAACAGTGAGGTATGTTTTCTAGTTTATTTTGCAGATTATGTATATATCATTTGCATCACGTGATTAACCATTAGTCTTGTTTACTTGAGGCTGCTTTTGCATGTGTATCTATTTATGTTAATTTCAGTGTTTTTTATGTCCCTTGAACTGAAAATGTAGCTTTATGCATGAATGAGAGGGGAAAGATGAAACAGGAAGGTGGTGGTTTGAACCCAATTGACACTTAAACATGAGCATTGAGCTTTAATAGTTAATAATTGACTTGTAAAGGCTGGAGAGGGACTTTACCGTGTCTTGGAATTATTTTTTTAAATTATTTTTTCCCCATTAGCCTGCTCTGCAAGCTGGAGATCTCCTCAACATGGCAGCATCTCACTGTAAAATGAAAGAGAAGCATTACTTTGGTCTCGTGACTGAGGGAGATGGGTAATGCTGTTAAGGTTTCGTGTAGCCTCTTTATACTGTTATTGTAGATATAGGAACTGGCTGGAGTTGGATAAAGCTGTTTTAGATCCAGCTCAGGATTTACCAAAAGGAAATGACCCCATTAAACTACACTTTACTTTCAAGTACGAATAATCCTTACTCCATCATCTTATCTCTTCACTATTTTTTATACCTACTCTCTACTTCTCCCTTTATCTTTAACCTCATTATCTCTCTTTCAGATATTATGTGGATACTTATGAAGATCTTCAGGACCACACTACAGTTGAGATGCTCTTTCTTCAGACGAGGAAGTTTATTGAGAAGTCAGAGATCATCACTGATGAGCAGACAGTGTACGAGTTGGCGGGACTGGTCATGCGAGCTAACTACGGCTCGTTTACAAGGTAGGAGTCCATTTAGTGGCAATGTGCTATTGTTTCTCTTTATTGTTTGTCTGTTTGTATTTTTAGTTTTTATTTTGTTCTTACTTTGTGATATTATGTATTATATGTATTCTAGTTGAGTTTGTTAATATTTTGTTCCTACTCTGAATAGTATACATGTATATTAAATGAATTTGTATGCCAACATGGTACTACTGCAATGTGTAATTATAGTATTTGTGTTTTACATTTAGTGAGGAAGAGGCCAGGAAGATACTACAAGGCATACCTATAATCCCTGCCTACATATTCCAGAAACAAAGTGTCAAAGGATGGTATGTCCCACATGCTCTCATTATAACTCTCTTTATTGAATGATCATATTATAGTGAGGATTGTATTTTGCGCTATTACAAATTGTGTCCTGATAATTTGTCGCGTGGTGAGGCCATCTTTCGCTATTTGGAGATTGTCCAAAGTTTGCCTATGTATTCCTATCATTACTTTGAAGTCAAAGTAAGGAGCTTCTGTGTGTGTGTTTGATTAGTATTTAAATGTATATTTTTGTAGGATAAGAACAATGTTCCCTTGTGGTTGGGGGTTGGTACTAATGGCATCGTTCAGTGCTACCTGGATAACAGGAATGAGCCCATTGCTGTAAGTATTTGTGTATAATAGGAAGCTATTGACCTTCCCTCTCTCTCTCTCTCTCTCTCCATAGCATTATCAATGGATGAACTTACAAAATATTTATTATAAAGATAAGAAATTCTCTGTAGAGGTTTACACTAATTCAAGGTGTGTATACCTTTACAACTCTACGTTATCCTCCAACATTACTAGGTCTCCTAGAAAAACCTATCAGTCAAACTCAGTGGCGCTGTTAGCTTGGTATGGCAAGAATCCAAAGGTTGTAGTAGCTATTTGGAAGATGGTCCGCGATCAGCACATGTTCTATCGTTCTAAAAGGAGTGCCAAAGTAACACATACACGTAATTGTATATCCATTTATGTTCATTTATCACTTATGCATAGTCAACTGATTTCCATACTGGTGACCTTGATGAAGCCAAAGTGAGTCTCACTGTCTTTTTCACCATTCATTTATATTGTTTTATCACCATCATCATCATCATCTTTATAATTTTATAGCCTAACATGACGATGACCGAAATACTACGTCACCTCAATCGCAAGCATCGTCACGGTGGCAGCATATCTCCGAGTAGCAGTCACTCTAGTCTCAGTATCGAGTCTGCCAAGTCCAATCAAGCCACAGGTGGTGGGTGGGATGACCATACGTTGCATGATACTCACATTACACTTTGTTTTCCCATAGCATCAGCTGAAGCTGTCGCTGCTGCTAAGAAAGCTCAGCAAGAGATGTACGGTGCTCTGTCGACTACTAGAGATGAGCTTGTTGATAAGTTAGAAAAGAAACTCACGGCATATAAGGATCTTTTACTGAAAGAAATGGTAAAGTGAATCTCTTTCAGTCTTTACCTTGCATTTTCATATTTTATCTTTTAGCAAATAACTGGCGTACCACCTGAAGGATTAACTGCCGAAGAAATTGAAAAAATGAGAACAAAGTTTGGAATAAATTTTAAATTTTCTAAATTCGTACTGGACAGAGGAGAATCCGTGGTAATCATAGCGACATCATTTGAATTTGTAAAAATAATTAGAATTCCTTGAATGTTTGATGCATTGAAAGGAGCCAGATTTCGATTGTTTATCATTCTTAGTAATTTGGCATATTTTAAAGCATTAAGTTGTTGTCCTGTTAGGCAGTTAGGTACTTCTCCTACATGCATAATGTGATTGTCAGTGATTGCAGTGCTTATAAGTCATTTATTTGGAGTAACATGCTACTTTATTATTATAATAGGGTGAAGGTGATGCTATAGAGGAGCTAGAAAAGCAGTTAGAAGTTCAGTCAGCTATCATTGAAGCAAGCAGGACGTTAGTCGATCAAGCTAAATCCCGTGCTATGAAGAAGGATCGCAAGAAAGAAGTAAAACGTGCAGAAGATAAGTATCAGAAGCTAGAGGATAGGCTAGTCGAGCTAAAGAGATCCCAAAGGAGACCCTATCCTTATGATTCAAGATATGACTCTCCTGGTATGGAATATTGTTCTGCATACTTGCAGTACTTCATTTTATTTCTTTTAGGTTTTTCTCTTCCACCTCCAAACACTACCGGGTCTTCAACCAGGCGATCTGTCAGACACACTTCGCCTAGCAACTCAACTTCAACCGTAGACGATTCGTATTTGGCAAAGATGATATTTGACGATTCGCCGCAGCAATTCTCACCTCTTATCACTAATCAAAAAGCGTCTCTACACAAAAGCACTTCGGCACTTCACGACGTGACAGAAATGCCCCGCCCTTCCTCTCCCCCCTCCACCCACCGCCAGCTATCGGGATCTAGATCAGCAGCTTATCACGGACACAGCCCTTACCTCCCTCCTGGGGACAGGTCCCATCACTCAAGCTACATGTCTGATCTTAACGACTCGTTTATCGGGACCGATCAGCAGCAGAGGTCACCGCGTACTAGCGTCACGTCTTTTGGCTCGGGGAGGTATGACCCTGATGCACTGCGTGGCGGTAGTCTCGCCGCTGATGACATCAGTCATCATTACTCGCGCAATAAACAGAGCAGCCCCATACATGGCCGCCTCTCTCTTGATAATCGCAGTCCTGGCGGTCCTTATTACAACCAGCACCAGTTGCGGTCGTCTCCGGAGTTGATGAATTCTCCGTCTCATCGCTCGTCTTATCGTTCTTCTGCCGGTCTCTTTAGTCCTGAGCCACCTCATTTGGCGACTGGAGCTAGGTCCAGGCCACAGTCCTCTCATTCTACTGGTACGCCTCCCCCTCAGGGGATTGAGTATCATAGTCAGAGAGGAGGTATTCGTAATAATAGAGAGATGGATTTACAGGAAGCACTGCTGATGGATCAAGATGAAGGGACACTTGTTTAATTTTAGAATTATAATGATAATAATAAGTACTACACACTCTGTCTCTCTTTTCTCTACACATTCAGCTATTGTACTATATTCGATGTAGACTGTATGTTTACTTTTGTGTCAATGATAGTTGTGAAGGGACTAACATTATTATTGTTAATTTTATTTAATTTTAATTAACTTGCGCGGAAATTAATTTTTATTGCGCATGCGCAGTTTCTCCGATAAATTGTATTAAAATACGTAGCCTTTCGCCATTTGCTAACAATTTCTCTAGTTCTCAGCACAGTGGTAACAGTCTTCCTGGCTTTGTTCTGTAGCTGATGGGTAATTTGGGTGGTCATGTTGTTCCTGGTATTTTTTTCATAATTTATGGGCTCTGGTGGATCATAGCTACATTCTGATTATACTTGAGTCAAAAATATCAAGTAAAGCAGCAGAAAAGATTCTTTGATGGTAAAAATATATCCAAACGATCTTACATACCAATGTGTTTTCTTCCACAATGGCCAATTGAACCTGTCCTAAAGATATTTTTTGCATCATTGGGAGTTTTCGTAGAAGGATTTTTAACAATGGTGCCCAATGATGACGGCATTGGTGAACACGTAGGACTAAAAGTCTGGTCACTGCACAATAAAGCCGATGGATCATTTGCACCACAAGCTAAATTGCACCACATCACAATGTACTCCTGTTTTATTGTCTCTGGTATTGTTGATCTTCTCTCCCTCTGCATTCGATATCCTAAACATACTTCAAAGCTATTTCTCACTCTTGCCTTCTTTGTGGAAGCATTCATCTTTTACTATCACACCAAAGGTGACCATGACCGTAGTCAATTGGAAGTTCTTATGCATGAGTTACTTGTCATTAGCATTGGGGTCTGTATGCTGTTTGCTGCTCTAAGGATGATGCAGTCTTCAAACATGCTAATCAATGGAGGATTAGCTTTAGGGATAACGCTGCAAGGTACTTGGTTCATTGAGGTCGGGGTTGTTATATTTGGCCCTACAAAGTGGGACGATGTACATAACAATTCTATGTTCATTGTTGCATGTTTTGTGTGGCATTTTATGTGCATTGGAGTTGCAATGTTTGTACTGCTTACTGTAATGCAGTGTGGAGTCCAACGCTACACCAAAAAAGAAACATATCAACTGTTAGAGGAGAAGCTAGACTTAGATAATTGAAACTGCTGATGTTTTATTAATATTTATTTTATAATGTTTTCTTTTTTGCTTTGACATATATGGCTGCTTATTTGTGTTAACTCAACGTATCTTTAAAATAGTTACCAGCTATCTAATTGACAATGTGCCAACAAATAATGTACAGGAAAGCAAGGTTGTACACATTACAAGTTAGTATACACATTACTCATCACTGTTTATCACATGATGCAACCAGGGGCGTATCTAAGCTCTGAGAGTTGGTCGGGCACGGAGAAAAAATATGTGGCGCGCGAAGCGCGCCGCGAAAAATTTCTAGAGCTAATTAATATTCATGATGGGCGTGGTCAATTAAAGACTACGATTATTACTTTAATTAAGCTAGGATGTGCACTTCAGTGCTTATATTTTCTTCATTAGTAGTAGTACTGGCCTTGGGAAGACATTCAAACAGACTCAGCAAAGTTTCTTAGCCATTTTTAACTCGATTACTTTAATAATTAATGTGAATAGTCTAATAACTGATTGGTTAGTAGTAGTTATTATTTTAAAAATGGCAGCCCAATTGCCCAAATGGAACTATGGAAGTCTCTACCATGTCATCATTATATTTACACTGGCTAATACTATTAGCTATGCTAGTTGTCTCATTGCTATCATAATAAAGTGAGCAATATTTTTAAAAGGACTAATATACAAAAGAAAAAATTTTTTGGTCTGCTGAGTTGGTCGGGCACAGGCCCACCCAGGCCCACCCTTAGATACGCCCCTGGATGCAACAAAAATAAAATAGTGTTGAAGTTCCATGAATTTTGATGCATCTAGTGAAGGCTAAGCAATGGAAGCCAATAGAGTTTGAATCGAAACAGAAGTTCTACAGATCTAGATCTTATTGGATTCGCAGACAAATTAGCATAGTATCTTTAACGTAATAAATTAAAAGTTCAGCTTTGCAGATTGCTTGACCCAATTCCTGCTCACGTGACATGTATTACTAGTATGGTAAAGTCACGTGATTAATGAGTTACACTGTACATGTGGGCCTGCGCATGCGCATAAAAAGCAAGACATGTGATGGTAACGTTAATGTACAGAGTAGGCGTGGCTACACACCATTTTGAGGTTTTGGACTATTACAATCTCTTTGTCTCGAGTTTTAGAACATTATTTTTAAACAGATATGATTATTTATAAGGATTTATTTACAGGTATGTTTTCTTTACAATGAGTAGCTAATATTATTGTGTCGTTTTTAGGAGCTGAGCTCTTCTCTGATACTTACAAAATGAAAGTAGTTGACGACATCTTTTATGAAGTGGAAGGAAAAGTAAGATATTAGTCATTTATATTCCCACAATTTACTTCAAATTTATTGAAATCATTCTGTGTAGAGAGTTTGATCCAATTTTGGTTATTTTTAAGAGTATTAAAATTTTGGACAAAGACCACACACAATGTTATTAATTTATTATTTTCTAGATGACAACTGAAAGTGGTGGAGGCATTGATGATGCACTGATTGGCGGTAATGCCTCCGCTGAGGATGGGGCAGAAGAATTAGAGGAAACATCTGTTTCTGGTTGTAATATTGTATTAGCAAACAAACTTGAAGAGACCAGTTTTAGTTCTAAGAAAGATTATCAGTTAGCAGTAAAGGTATGAGAACGCTTATTGTCTTGTGTAATGTTATTGTACGAGACTATAGGGATATTTAAAGAAGCTATCTGAGCGTCTGCAGGAGAAAGATCCTGAAAGAGCTGCTGCTTTTAAGGCTGCAGCTCAACCAGCAATGAAAAAGGTTCGTAACAGAACTTATTATTATTGTTTTTTTTAGCAAAAAGGTGCACTTAGGGATAAGTCCATTGATGTATCGAATCTCCTTTACTGTTTCTCCAATGATTTTGCTTTGTTTAGATATTTGAAAATTATAAAGATTTTCAATTTTTTCATGGAGAGGGTGATTATGAAACTGCTGGAATGGTTGCCTTATTGAATTTCAGAGAAGATGGGCTTACGCCATACATGCTCTTCTTTAAAGATGGTGTCATCGAAGAGAAAGTTGTAAGTCTATTCTTGTCAGTAGTCTGTTGTTCTGTAATTAGATTACTCTTTCACTTCTCGTTATTGTTTTTCTTTTTTAGTAATGAAATTTTCATTTTGAAGTCTTTGTTTCTGCCCTACAGTCTTGATATTATAGAAGTTAATTTATTATTTAAACTATTAAGAATTAAAATTGCCTTCATTTGTTAATTCATTGTTGTATTGTTATTGATTCTACTTTAAAAATTGACTGCGTCTTTTACTATAAATTATGCAGCTATAGCTCATCAAGATGCATTTTTAAATTTGACTCAAAAATTGAAATCAAATGATAATGACGTTAGAATCAAACTCAAATAATGTCACAATGATAACGTGTTTCATAATAGATAATTTAAAAACAATGATCATTATAATATAATGACATTCTACTAGCTTCCAAATCTCTGTACGGTCCATTCCTGCTGACAGAGTGGGCAGCGATTGTTTTGCTTGATCCATAGCTGCATACAACAATTGTGAAAGGAATGATTGCATTCTCCCCACACGACTACACAATAGAAGAGATACAGGATCATTATTGCAGTACGTACTCACCAATGCATTCTTCTTGTTTCTTGTCACTTTGACATCTAAGGCAAGCATCTAAAAATTTTTTTTAAATAATTATATATAGGTCTGCAGCTGTCACAGGCATATGCAAGCAGCTGAAGACAAGGACACGCCCACACAATTAAATATAATGTACATTATTATTATTATACATAATTATAGTATATGTATGCCCATATTTTCATGTACATACCCATAACTTGTACTCTACATATAGCACAAGTATCACACTCCACGTCCCACGACCACATCGCCACGGCGTTCCATTTCTTTAGAGTGAAGAGAGGGCCCGTAGGCGTCTTTCCCTTGGCCTTCTTTACTTTAGGCGGCTCTTCTAAGGACTGCCCATCCGCCATACCTTTTGTAAAGGGTATATGGTCAGGTGATCTTTGTCGTTTTAGAAATTTCCAATCCCTTGCTTCCATGACCACGCCTACTTTAAGGTGGAGCTACATGTTACACCCACGCAATTTCCCAAGTGAGGGGGCGTTGCAATAGCAAGGTGTGGCTGGTATTTTATCATAACAGCGCTATCTTTGAATCAAGTAGAGCAACAGTTAAAACTTGCAGCTACTATGTCGGCTGATAAGAGACCAAGCTCTTTGTACGTGGATCTAAAGAACCTCAGGGAGCTGTTCCAAGAGGTGGACAAAGAAGAGAAAGGATACATTGAGTTTGATGGCTTGCAAGAAATGATCTCAAGCATGGAAGAATTTGACCCAAACATGGCTAAAGAGCTTATGGAGACACTGGATAGGGACAAAGATGGGAAAGTTAGTGATGAAATCCTAGCAGATATCATTATACCAGCCCCACCCATCACACCCTTTGTCCCTTTTATTCTTTCCTAGGTAACTTTTGAAGATTTCCAGACATTGTACACTGTAGAGAGAGATGCTATTAAGGAACAGCAGCCCAGTAGTAATTCACTTCATGAAAATAATGGTAAGTGTAATTATCAACATCATGAGCTAATTATTAATTATCACTGCATGTTACATTAATATCTGCAGGCAGATCTTTAAGCATTAGTAGTGACAGTAAGAGATCAAGCCCTTTCATTAGTCCTGATCTACTAACAAGAGGTAAGACACAACTGTCCTCTTTAATTTATTCCTCCTCTTATTCTTGCACAGTTCCTGACTCTCCTGATCTAGCAAGCCATGCCCGATCACTGAGGAGCACCGACTATGACCTCAATGACTCTTCATTTCAACACAGTCCAGCTTCATTTGGAGACATTGTATTGGAAGATACAGGAGGAATAGAGACAACCAGTAAGACTTGAGAATATTGATTAGCATTACTCTATAGCAGATGATGAGTCACCTGTAGTCACATCTCCAAAACCATCACACTCTTTTTATGGTGAGATAAGAAAAGAGCTTGAGCAAATATGTCCAACTGGTATTGTTGAGCAAGAACACGTTTTAAAGCTGTCAAATGCACTAGGACTAGATGCTCCTGATGAACAGGTAGTTATTACATTGGTGCATAAGGTATCCAGCATAACTGTATATAATAGGAGCTACTGTCAACATGGGAGGAATGCAAGGGAGAAACAGTGTCTGTTGAAAGCATGTGTCATTTGTTGCAAGAGAAGGAAAAAATTTCACTTATCAGTTCAGTACCATCTAAACTGAACACAAGGGAAGCATGGCAGACAGAGGTAAGGATCATAACAATGAATGAGCAAGCACGGGGTTGATTAGCTTAATGATTACTATTGCTTGCTAGCAGATCAAGTCTGAAAATGATACACATATACATGTATATAATATCATTCATAGTCTACTATGGATTCTCCATTGGCTCTAAAGGATCCACCAAAGAAGAGGTCAACTCCACACAAGAAGCTCGCAGATGTAGCAGAGGACACTGACAGTTTTGATGAAGATGATACAGCAGGTAGTGACAATGAATGGATTAGTGGAATCAGCTACAATTTCTATGATGTAATGCAGGTATGAATTATTTTATTTTAATTTTAAAAAACTTTGCTAAAAAATCACCACAGTTTTATTACATTTTTGATACATATTGATGTCTTTATGCTATGTAGAAAGTTTGAGCTGTTTCTGACAAATATTCTTCGAGTTACGGCCATTTTTTAAAACGGGCCAATTTTTCAAAAATGCCCAAGGCTATAGCCCTTGTTTTTTTTCCCAAAAAATGATTCCAAAATTACCCCAAATTTTTATTACATTTTCTATTGTATATTGATGTGCTTATGCTATTTAGCAAGTTTGAGTTGTTTCCAACAAATATTTTTGAGTTATGACCAATTTAAAAAACAGGCCAATTTTTTGAAAAATACCCAAGACTATAGCCCATGGTTTTTCCCAAAAAACGGGTCCAAAATCACCCCAAATTTTTATTAAATTTTTTGATACATATTGATGTCTTTATGCTATGTAAAAAGTTTGAGTTAATTCCGACAAATATTTTTTTAGCTATGGCCATTTTTTAAAATGGCCAATTTTTGAAAAATTCCTTGTACTATAGCCCATGATTTTTTCCAAAAAATGAGTCCGAAATCACCCCAAATTTTTATTACATTTTTTGATACATATTGATGTCTTTATGCTATGTAAAAAGTTTGAGTTAATTCCGACAAATATTTTTTTAGCTATGGCCATTTTTTAAAATGGCCAATTTTTGAAAAATTCCTTGTACTATAGCCCATGATTTTTTCCAAAAAATGAGTCCGAAATCACCCCAAATTTTTATTACATTTTTTGATACATATTGATGTCCTTATGCTATGTAGAAAGTTTGAGTTAATTCTGACAAATATTTTTCGAGTTATGGCCATTTTTTTAAATGGCCAATTTCTGGAAAATTCCCTGTACTATACCCCATAATTTTTTCCAAAAAATGGGTCCAAAATCACCCCAATTTTTTATTACATTTTTTGATACATATTGATGTCCTTATGCTATGTAGAAAGTTTGAATTGATTCCGACAAATATTTTTCGAGTTATGGCCATTTTTTTTAATGGCCAATTTCTGGAAAATTCCCTGTACTATAGCCCATGGTTTTTTCCAAAAAATGGACCCGAAATCACTCCAAAATTTTATTACATTTTCTGATACATATTAATCTCCTTATGCCATTTAGCAAGTTTGAGCTGTTTCCGACAAATATTTTTTGAGTTATGGCCATTTTTTAAAAACAGCCAATTTCTGAAAAATTCCCTGTACTATAGCCCATGGTTTTTTCCAAAAAATGGGTCCAAAATCACCCCCAAATTTTTATTACATTTTTTGATACATATTGATGTCCTTATGTTATATAGAAAGTTTGAGCTGTTTCCGATAAATATTTTTCGAGTTATGGCCATTTCAAAATTATAAAAACACATTTTAAAAAACAAGTATGAACATAATCTTAATTTCAGACTACTCCATCAAGAAGACCAAGCTCAGCAAGAGAAGGCTCAAGGTTGTCACGAGGCTATGGTGAGACAAGTCTTCGTCAAACAGCAATGATGAACAGTGATTATAAATCAATGCAAGAGAAGCTGGCCCAGGTAGCTATAATAATAAAACTGCTAAAATTCGATCTACTGTCTTGCAGGCAATGGCTGAGAATGATTCACTAAAGTCAAATTTTGCTCGTGTCGAAGAGGAAAAGAAAAAGCTGATTGCCGAGGGAGAGGAAAGTGTGCAGCTACTGCAGAGGATTAAGGAAGAAGAGATAAAGTGAATGAAAGCTAATAAATATTAAAAATCAATTCTTCTTTTTTACTTCTTTTTTAACATTTTAGTGCTATAAAAAATGACTGTAGCATGAAAATAAAAGAATCAGAGAGATCCTTTACAAGCGAAAGACAGAGCTTACAAGAGAAAGCAGAACAGGAGGTCATCAAATTAAAAGAGGAACTCACAAAGCAAAAGGAAAAGAACAAAACTCTCCAAACTGAGTTGGACTACTACACAAACGATAATGCTAAATTAGTAGAAGATCTACAAGCAATGACATCAGAAATAGAGGAGAAAAAGAACAAGATAGCAAGACTCCATGAGACGTTTGGCATACAAATGGAATCACCTTCGGACACTGACCTTGAAATGCAAGCAAACAGACTCCAGGAACTAGAACGAGACCTCAACGACAACATCCAACTCAACGAAGACCTCAAGTCAAAAATCAGAGAGCTTCAAGACAGAGAGGATGAATGGAAAGAAGAGTGCGAGATGCTCAGAATGAAAATCATTGAAGAGAAGCGACGGAGACAGAAACGAAAATCGAGTGCCATCAGTTTGCCAACATCTCATACAAGCCTTTCCTCAAGCACACTACAGACAAAGAAAAACAGAAGAGCTCTTCCAGAGATTCCTCCACATAGAAGGAGACAGCATGAAGAGACCGACAGTGGCAGTAGACACATCATAGCGACGTATGGAAGTGAAAGCGATTCAATGAGAGAGCATGAGACGTCTGATGATAGTGATGACTTCGAAACAGTATCAAGTACACAAGCTCAAATAGATTTTAAAACATGATTTATTGTATATTGCCAGGTACCAGTCTGCTGGACGAGATCAGACTTGAAGATGACAAGCAAAAATACATGAAAAGTAAAGCAATTTATTGTTTATGTTTCTTTGATCGTTTTTTAAAATTGTATAGAAATGGCAGAGTTGGAAGGAATGAAAGTACAGCTTGAAACAAGCAAAAAAGAATTAGAGGTAAAATTATTATATTCTAAATAAAATCAATTAGTTTCTTTTATGCAGAAGCTCAACTCTAACATGCATTCAGAGAACTTGAAGCTTGAAAAACTCCTTCAGAAATCAAAAGATGATAAATCAAGTCTGGAGTCCCAGTTAGCTCAGGCTAAAGAGGAACATGAAGAAGCTGTATCAACATACATGGTACAGATATACAACATGAAGACTGAGCATGAGGCGGATGAGATTCTAAATCAAGAGCTCAAACAGGAAAACTTTGAGCTCCATTCAAAGCTTCTCCTGACACAAAATCATTTTGAAGAAACAGAAGAGAGACTCAATGAAATAACGAGAGAGAAGCGACAGTTAGAGGGACAGCTCCAGAGTCTGGAGAATCAATTAAAGATGAAAACAAATGAGGCCGGACTAGCAATAAGGGATCTCACAATGAAAGAGGAGGATTATGCTTCATTGCAAGAGAAGATGCAGGAAGTGGAGAATGAGTTGTCTGATCTTCACTTAACTGCCAAAAACTACCTCTCACAGATAGAGCAACTCGAAAAGGAGTTCAAAGAACAGGACTCTAAAAGAATAAAAAATGTCGAGGAATCAAAAGAGATAGCTCCAGCTCTAGAAGCACAAGAGCTCACTTCACCAAAGAAAAGAGAACTGACAGTAACTCCCATTTACACTCCAGCCCCATTGCATTCATCATCTCCATTCCCTTTCTCTCCAACAAGAAGCTTATCAAGTGCAGAAGGACAGTCAGAGATTGTTACCCAAATGAAGTCGCAGCTGGAAGATCTCCAGAGACTTTTGGTACACAAGAGTGGTCAAGATGTCAGTGATACAGAACTGACAGTCATTCAAGAGCTACTGGAGATGAATAATGTACTAGAAGAAAGCATTGCCAGCCAGCAGAGATGGTACAACTCTGAACTGACAACCCGTGATAATTTGATTGAGGATTTACAGAAACTCCTCACTTTTCTCAAATCCCATCTATCAGAGTCTGTTAGCCAGACAACAGAAAACGTTCAAGTTATTCCAGAACTTATACAAGCAATGTGTGATAGGATAGAATCCCTACCAAGAAGCAGTGAAGTGACAACACCTGCAGATGATCATCAAAGAATCCAAGAATTAAAAGAGCTGCTTGAAAAATCAATGGGCGACGTAAGAGAAGGAGAAAAGAAACGGCTGCAGTTAGAGAATATAATAAATAGACAACGGAACGAGCTCAAAGTCATCAATCATCAATTGGGAAAGGCAAAGACACTCGAACTAAAGCATAGCAAAGAGAGGGAAGAAAGAGAGAAACAACTCAAGGAGCAGAATACGAGCTTACAAAATAAGCAAATGGAGTTACTGCAACTGAGGGAGACTGTAGAAAGAATCAATACATCAAGTATGCCTAGTCTCCACAGTAGGGAAATGAGAAAAGGATCAGGGAGTACTGATGAGGAGGAAGATGACTTGGAGCTCCTGCACTCTTCACTGCAGAAAAAATACAGCTTGAGTCTGGTACAGGAGGTGAAGGGAGAGATACAGCGAATGAATAAAGAAATGATTGCAGTGAGCTACTCTAATTGATAAATTTGTAAAAAATTATATGTTCTTTTACACATTTCTTGCAGCATAAAAAGAGTACAGCAACTGCCGAAGAGTTGCTGCATCAATTGCAAAAGGAACTGAGTAGCTTTTATAATGAAATAGTAGGAGAACCAGAAGAGGAAGATGTGGCAAGAGATGGTATCGCAATGCTTAATAGTATAAGGGAAGCATACTATAAACTGCAAGAAAAGGTAAGTGATGCTATTACTATATATATAGCGCGATTGTTGCTTCCAGCTATCAATTGAGAGAGAACTCTTAAAAGAAAGTAGAGAAGATTTTGAAATGAAAGCAACCGAATATGAACAATTATACTCTGAACATGATGAAGAGGTAATAAATATAGGCAGTAATAATCCACACTGTTATAATTATTTTCATAAAATAGATTCAATCAGTCCAGCAAAGAAATGCCCAGAATGAGCAGTATCTCTTGAATCTACTCACAACTCAAGACTCAAGAGTAAGTGTATCAGTCTCTTACTTGTTGCATAATTTACTTCACCCAATATACATGCAGATGAATGAGGAGATGGAAGAGCTGAGGTCTACCAATACTCTATTAGAAGAAGCAATGCACAAGTCACTCACTAGCATAACCCAACTACAAACAGAAAGGACTATACTCATAGACACTTTACAAGCACTGAGTCTGCAAACACTCCATGCACTAAGCACAAGATAATGTACATAAAATGACACATTTTATATGCACACAGATCTTCCTGTCGTTTTTGACATAAAAGATGTTTTACTTAAAATTTAACTTTAGTGAACTAGGCTAACAACTTCACTAGCACTATGTATATTTCAATAATTCCACTACCTTACTACAAGCAGCATTAGGTAGTGCCTCATTATTTTTCAAAGTAAAACAAACAAAAAACAAATAATATAATATACATGCATTATTTCATGTAAGTCAACACAATAATATGATATATCTCTAGTCTTAATATATTCTCTAACGACAGCGCCATGTTAGTCAATACATAGAGTAGTTGTACATGTAATGGAGTCAAAGAAAACAAATATTGATGTTCTTTATGTGCTCAGTGAGACTGGAGGATTTGAAGGGGTTAAAACTGAGGACGTAGAAACCTGTTCAGATTCATCAATAGTAGCAGTCACGCCCCCTCCTTGAGTCTTGCTGCTAGGCAACTCGTCAGACAACGAGGCAATGGAAGGAATGACATTCTCTGATTGTGCAGAGTTTAAGGGTGTGGCAGCTCCACCCATCGCGTACTGCTGCTGCTGCTGCATAAGAATAGACGACTGAAGCGAAGCAATGACCTCCGCCATCTTTGAGGTAACTGAATTCGGTAACGGTTGAACTGTGACAACCTTTGGAGACTGAGAGGAGTGTCCCTTTACCCCAAGGAGACCAGGAGAAGACTGAGGGCGTGGAGAAGAAGTAAAGTTTAATGGGCGAGCGGTAACAGTCCCACCGCGAAGGAAAGAAGAAGAGGAGGGAGAAGTGGTTGGAGGAAGAGAAGATGCTTGCTGGAGCTGCTGCAACTGAGTAATGGCAGCTGCAACCGAGACCGGATTATGAGAATTAACAAGAGCGGCAGCAGCAATTGCAAGAGGAGATGAGGCAGAGAGATTCGAAAAAGAGCCATTACTGTGGTCACTGAGTAGAGGGGTGGGGAGAGAGGGTGGCTGGATACTTGACTGAGTACTGGTGGGCGTGGCAGCAACAGAGACAGGAGGAGGAGGCTCGAATAGAGTAGCTGCTGGTGGAGATTGAGGAATGGTTCTTGAAAGTACGGCCATATCTAGAAAAGAGAGAATTTTAAAAATTAGAATTCAAAAAAAACCGTGCTTACCATCAATAACTGGCTCAAATATTTTTGGTAGAGTTGCTTTAGCTTCAGCAATAGAGCGAGTGCTGACTTTACCGGAGTTGAGACCACAGTCCAGGTCCATCTTATTTAATATATCAACATCTTGATGCAACTCAAATGTATTGTCAAATGTGAATACATACTCAGACCTAATGAGAGGAAAGGGAGAGATAATGAATAAAAAATACAAGAACACACACACACACACACACACACACACACTGCTGTGTGCAACATGATTATTATTGTTATACTATGGATGGCATTAGGAAATGTGCATGACAAGCAACAGTAGACAAACATGCTGAGTCAGTAGACACTAATAATAACTCACACACACAATACACATACATGTATCAACACATAGACCTGAAATAATTAGCTTATTTCCTTGTACAAAAATGTCTATGGTAAAAATGACTCTGAAATCACTCCAAATTTTTATTACATTTTCTAATACATATTGATGTCCTTATGTTATACAAAAAGTTTGAGCTGATTCCGACAAAAATTTTTCAAGTTATGGCCATTTTAAAAATATGCCAATTTCTAAAAAATACCCTGTACTATAGCCCATGGTTTTTTCTAAAAAATGGCTCCAAAATCACCTCAAATTTTTATTACATTTTTTGATACATATTGATGTCCTTATGCTATGTAAAAAGTTTGAGCTGATTCCAACAAAAATTTTTAAAGTTATGGCCATTAAAAAATGCAAATTTCTAAAAAAATACCCTGCACTATAGCACATAGTTTTTTTTTCCAAAAATGGCTCTGAAATCACCCCAAATTTTTATTACATTTTTTTGATACATATTGATGTCCTTATGCTATGTAAAAAGTTTGAGCTGATTCCAACAAAAATTTTTAAAGTTATGGCCATTAAAAAAATGCAAATTTCTAAAAAAAATACCCTGCACTATAGCACATAGTTTTTTTTCCAAAAATGGGTCTAAAATCACCCCAAATTTTAATGACACTTTCTGATACATATTGATGTCCTTATGCCATGTAGAAAATTTGAGCTCATTCCAAGCATGAACTTTTGAGTTATGAGTAGTCCAGAGTTGCATGAGCAACACATGCACACACAGCACATTACATAACATACATACACAAAGTGATAATTATTGTAAAGCAACATGTGACATACTTGTCACTGGATATGCTGCAATCAATGGTAGTGTTCTTGTTTGTATTGACGAGTATAAATGGCAAACCAATGGCAGAGTTTTGACTGGGGGACTCCCCAGCTGCTGCTTTATCACGATTTCTCTTAATGAGATTCTTCAAAGTTAGGATCTAGAGAGAAGAATGAGAATAATGAAAACACACACATGTACATGCACACTATATATTACAAAAGATACATAGAAACAACAAAGGGTACATGACTCCATCACACGTGTAATACAATGCAAGACATCTTCCTTGCTTACTTGTAAGACTAGATCGTGTAGCTCAGACGTCTTTTTAGATATACGCTCTTCCTGTTGTGATAATTCCATCTAAATCAATAAACGTGTAATAATAATATTAATGTCAGTTACCACAAAAACCTCAATAAAGCAACACACAGAATATAATACTAATGAAATATAGTGGTTGCTAGGAAGACACACTAGTAAGAGGCGTGTCAAACTGGCCTCTGTACATACAAGGAAATACCCTGGTTTCTATTACACAAGAAATTAAATTTTACATGTAATACTATAAATACTAAAAATAAAACAATTATAATAACACTGAAACACTACAAAATACGTTAACAAAGAGATAAAAGAAAAGGAATAAAAGATGAGAGGGACCTTGTGTACCTGGATATGCTCGCATTCTTGTACTGAGTTTGTAGGCAGTCCTATCCAGTGAATGTCCTTCTTTTCTTTATTAATGATATTCATAGCCATCAATACATTGAGTGCGTCATAGACACGTCTTCTTATGTTTTTCTGATCAATTTGCTAGAAACAGAAAGACAGAGACATTACCTATGAAACCTGTTATGGCTACAATTAATTACACGCTGTAATTCCTCTTTCATTCCTTCCTCTCTCTGTATCCCTCTCTCTTTCTCTCTCACCCCATCTTGTCCTGATCTTCTCTCAGCTTCACCAAATTCTTTCACCAATTCATCAGCAACCTACAGTAGAATAGGCAGATCAATACTATTAACCAATGCACAGTGACTGAAGGCATAACATGTACATGTACATCATTCCAGACCCAATAGACACTACTGGTGATAGAGATTTCAAGGAACTGACTTTGTATACTATACATGTACACAGAAAAACCATAATTATGATCTCTGATAAAAGAATGCATTAGGACACTACCCACTAGCTAGGTTAACCTCATATTTAATTAAACATAACCCAAGGTGGTTTAATGTTCACTTAGCATGAGGCACTTTGCCTTTATTAAATTACATGTACTCATGCACAAGACCAGTAAAAGAAACCACATACAAGGAAACATGTCAAGCATCAGTCCATAGACATCTATATATGGTATCACTGTAACCTCAATATAGAGGAGCATCAACTGAGGGATCAGCTGATTAATAGTTGGAACAGCTGTAGTTTTAATTACAGAGCCACATATAAACATAATAGTGTGGGCTCCATACCTCAGGCCTACATTTGCAAGACTTATCCCACACCACATTCTCCCTCCCTCTCCTTCTCTCCCCCCCTTACCTCATTGTATGTAGTTCGTCCTTTCTCTCTCACTTTCTCACAGACCAGCTGAGAGAAATGCCTCAATCCTTTGCTCTGTTTCTCTGAAGTAGGAGCACCTCTACCACCTCCACTGGACGGGGCACACTTCCTCCTCTTCACACTAAAGTCATATGATACAATACACCACAAGAAACCTTATATCGTTACCTGTCGTCATGATCTGCCACAGGGAGTCGTCCTCTTTTACGAGTACTGACAGGTGTCACTTGAGTAGGTGTGGTCACAGGACCAGGGGCTGGAGAGGACGAGGTGTTCTTCGCTGGTGGTGGTTTTTGAGAACTGTTTGCAGCAGCAGCCATTGATAATATTTGCTAAGAGAAGAAGAGCACAAATTAACACGTGAATCCTCTTTCCTTCTCTTACTAAATTCTGATCCCGTGCGCCACTCTCTCCTCCTCTCGTCCCAAGTAAAGAATTGATAAGATTTTTTGCATCACCTACAAATAATAATAATAATAATAATAATAATAATAATAATAATAATAATAATAATAATAATAATAATAATAATACTATAGGCTATCATATTCTTGCAATACATTACATGCAGACACGACCCAACAATAAACAAAACATGCATATATGCACCTGCCCATCTCTGCACAGCTGATGACCACATGAGCTGTAAGACCACAACTCAACCTCCCTCTCCCTCTCTCTCTCATCTTCCTTACTTGTTAAACCTGCTGCTAAGCTAGCAGCTGTTTCATCCATTATACTCTCATTGACACTACCACCATTACTACTACCAGCAGGTCCATTACCTGTACTTGACTGGATTCAAGTACAGAGAGGAGGAAAAGAGGAGGAGAGAGGAGGAGAGGGAGAGAGGGGGAGAGAGAGAGTTAACATAAAACATGTACATTGACATACCAAAATAATAATGATGTTATACTGTACACAAAATATTTTCTAAAATGGCAACAGCATAGCATGACATGAAAACAACACTAACCGTTTTAATTATTAATTATAAGCATTATTACAAATGTTCTTATACGTGTCACATAGCAGTCAAGCACACATACATATCAGAGACATACACGAGTTTAAACAAAAGACAAAAAGAGAAGAAAAAGCTATGTACATGTAATAGGAAGAAGAGACTATGTAATTAGTGTAATTGCAACAATCACACATACAATGTGCATTGTAATTTATAAATGAACTAGAGTGTGATCTGATACATAGTATTCTGACTCTGTTTTGAATGTATTCTATTTAATGTGACATGAAGGCACTCATGTACATGTACACGTTGGCCTACTCACCATAACTGGGTAAGAGGAGGAGGAAGAGGGGGAAGGAGCTAAACCTAGAGAATTGAAAGAGAAAGGAATCCCCAGCTGCTACCACAAATACATGACACATCATAATACTATAACATAATAATGATAAAAATACATGTCTGTTTTTGGAAGGAATACATAACATTAAATGAAACCACAGAAAAATAAAGATAATAAGAGAGAGGGGAGAGTGAGGGGCATTACCATCTTCTCTCTGATTAGACATTTTAGAAGCTAAAAATAAGAGCGTGTGAGAGAGAGGAGAAGGAGGATTATTCAGCCAGTGAAGCAGGGCCGACTATTGCGTCGAAACGAGAGGCACACACAAAACTAGGCCTGCAGGGAAAACTGTCTTAAAGATGCAGTCAAATTGAGGGGAGCCTATAAAGGAGAGGGGTCTTGAGAGAGACAGAGAGAACAGACAAGAAAAGAAGATGAGTGGATCAGCAGCTCTCTCTCTTTGGCTCTTTCTCCGCGAAAATCTACTGCGCATGCGCAATAGGGATGGGGAGGAAACCTGTTACCATAACAACGATCAACTGAGCCACACCTCTAATCGTCATGGTAACAGGCTCCGCCCTTACAATTTGGCTCAAGTCCCACCCATTTTAAGATGGCATCCGATGAGACGGACGATCTAAAACCTTTTCCAGAGCACTGCCTGATACCAAAGAAAGAGACTGGAGCTGAGAGGTTCCTCTCTCGTTTCCCTGAGCATAACGGGAAGAATGTGGTCATTGCTATACTGGATACGGGAGTGGATCCTGGCGCCCCTGGACTCAGTGTAAGAGACACTGTCTTCTTTTCAGAGGACAATGCATTTTTTGGGAAATTTTACAAGTGTCTTTTAACAATAGGGTCTGTGGGTTATGGTTAATGCATGTACATATACATCTCTATTTGCCTATAAACGTTGATTACTACACTGTAATCTGTTGCTAGAGATGTGCTAATATTATAGTTGTTATTTTATTATAGAAAACCCCGGATGGTAAATCAAAGATACTGGGACTGTATGACTCAAGTGGGAGTGGTGATGTTGATACCAGTGTGGTACGCACCACCACAAGAGAGATCGGACGCGTTATTGATGGACTAACTGGAAGGAAATTAAAAGTATCACTCCATTACATTATCATGTGATTAAAGTATTGTCTGTGTGTGTTTTCTTTTTTTACTTAAGATACCTAATGGTTGGACTAACCCCAGTGGCAAGTGGCATGTTGGGGTGAAAGCAGCTTTTGAGCTATTTCCTAATCTCCTCAAGACGAGACTCCAGGTTAGTTTATTAAAATCACAAATAGAATATCCTTCTTTTTTTTGTAGAAAGAATTTGTTGAGAAGGAATGGAATCCAGCTCATTTACGTGCTCTAGCTGAGGCTGAGAGAGAATTAAGAGACTTTGAGCTTCACAACAGAATTGATGGGAACATAGTAAGGACACCTCAACGTGCTAATGAGTGCAATCATGTGGTGTTTCTGCTCTTGTAATGTATGTTCAGTTTAGGATTATAGCATAAATTTTAGTGATGAGCGAGTCCGGAGTAGTCGTTCTTTCAATTCCAAATGGAATCCTACTTGTATTAAAAGAGAAGTGGGAATTGTTTGAAACGATTCTCAATTAAGCCGCACCCTTTAATATTAATAATAGTTAATAAACCAGTAGATTGCTGTAATAGATAACACGTTCATAGACGTAGTATTTGGAATCAGTATCCAGACAATTTCATTGATTCCAGTCTCAAAGTATTTAGAATCGGAATCGATTGCAAATGTCTGGATTCACCCATCTTTAATGTTAATGTTTATTAAAGAATTCATTGGTAAAATGTATTGCGGGGACTTTTAGTTTTTCCCCTTCCAAAAAATATAAAGACCGCCATTTTGAAATAGGGTCAATCCTACAAAGAATATGATCTTGGCCCTGGCCTATTTATTGCAACTTTTTTGGAAATAGCATTGTGGGGCGTCCTCATAATTGTTATTACTAACCACATGTTAACAACTGTATGGCTTCTTTATCTTCCTTTAGAAAAACAGATTGAAGAAAGAGGATCTCCAGGCTAGAGTTGACATCCTAAACAGTTTAAATTCAAAGAATAACATAGCAGGACCTTTCTATGATTGCATTGTGTTTAATGATGGATCCTATTGGAAGTAAGAGCAGAGAAAGAATAAGAGTGGTTTATCCTCTAGGTGGTTGCTTATAATCTATTAATGCTCCTCTCACTAGAGCTGCTATTGATACAACCAAAGATGGCGATCTTCGTGACATTCCTTGTCTTTGCTCGTACAAAATAGCACAGCATTGGGTCAAGTTTGGATATAATGGTATAATAATGCATATATTGTACATAAAACATGTAATTTGTATTACTAATCTCTCTCTCTCTCTCCCTCTTTCTACTCTAGATATGTTTAATTATTCAGTTAACGTCTATGACAATGGTAATCTTCTGAGCATTGTTACCACTGGAGGTCAGTCTAGTATTCACTCGCTCAATCCTCTCATCCTCTCTTCTCCAGGTTCTCACGGGACTCACGTGGCATCAATTGCAGCTGCTTATTTCCCATCATCTCCTGAGAAGAATGGTGTGGCCCCTGGGGCACAGATCATTGGTATTAAAGTTGGTGACACTAGACTGAGTACAATGGAGACTGGGCCATCTCTTCTTAGAGCTGTAAATAAGAGAGAGAGGGAGAGAGGGAGAGAGGGGTTAGGGGAAGGGGAGGGGGAGAGCGAGAAGGAGAGAGAGAGGGGAGAGAACCTTTAGTTATAAATATGTACTGAATGTGCATGTACTGTTTTTGTTGTGGCGTGGTATTGAAAATGATGTTTATCTTTCTCTTTCTTTATAGTGCAACATATTAGCTGAGCTTCATTGTGATCTTATCAATTACAGTTATGGCGAGGCATCTCACTGGACCAATAAAGGGTATGCATATCCACATGTACAAATTTAACTTTTTTATTTTTATTATCATAGAGCTGTATTAGAGGAATTCATATCACTAGTTAGGAAGCACAATGTTGTATTTGTAACTAGTGCTGGCAACAATGGACCAGGACTGAGTACTGTTGGGTGCCCTGGGGGAAACACTGAAGCACTCATTGGTAAGAGACATCATCTCCCTTTCTCTCTCCCCTCCGATTCTCTTTACCTTATTCACTTTTCCTCCATTACAAAAGGCGTTGGTGCTTATGTATCTCCAGACATGATGGAAGGTACATATTCCATGCTGAAATCAAAACCAGGCATACCTTACACATGGAGCTCCAGAGGACCAGCGTAAGTCATGTACATATACATGTACTATAATTCATCTACAAATACATGTACATGTATGTACATGTTACATGTACTATGATCTATGTACATGGGTATGGGTCACTACGGGGAAGGTATACATTCATCATAGTAGATGTACATGTACTTGCATGATCTTTGATCAACTTTTGAAATTTGAAGCAATTCTTATGTTATAATGTTATTTATCTTAGTGCTGATGGTGATCTTGGTGTCTCAGTCACTGCTCCCGGCGGTGCATTCACATCAGTGCCAACGTGGACACTCCAGTGCAGTCAAATGATGAACGGTACCTCAATGTCATCTCCCAATACTTGTGGAAACATTGGTACGAAATGAATTATCTTTTAATGGAGAGTGTGTGGGCATATTTATGTGTATACATGTAGTTTGTGTCTGCTGGTTTAGTGTAGGATGTGAGTTTTGGTTTAGAATTAATTGTCTCCTCACTTGTTCATTGCTACATGTATGTACATGCACATGTACATTAAATGTATTTCTTACTTTTCCTTTCTCTTAATTCTCTCCCTCTTCCAGCTCTGCTATTATCAGCTATTAAGTACAGGGGCTATGACTATACTCCAGCTCTTATAAAGAGGGTCATTGAAAAGACAGCAACTCCTTTAGGATCTCACGATCCCTTCTCCATTGGACATGGAGTTATCCAGGTGCACTCTGACTAAATATACTGTAATTATAACCTACTCTACCTCTACTGTATGCATAGGTTGACAAAGCTTATGATTATTTCAGAGAGATTACTACACTACCAACCACCCCAGTTGATTTTAGGGTATGAGTGGCTATACTCCTGTAGTTTGAATGCGTTTTACTAACTGTTATTTCCTTCTACTACTACTACTACATGTACATGTACATGTAATGTGCAGGTATCTGTCAGTGGTTTACAGGGACAGCAGTCAAAGTGTAGGGGTATCTACTTGAGGGAGCCTCATCATTTCAAGCGATCCACTCATCACCTTGTCACAGTTGACCCTTGCTTCCCTGAGGACACCAGTAACTATGAGCGTTATTATTATTTGTCTTATTTATGTTTGTACTACATGTGGTTGGATTTTAGGCCCTCGTGATAAATTGGACTTTACCGAGAGGATCACTCTTGTTCCTACGCAGCCATGGGTCCACTCATCCAAGCACATTATACTAGCATCATCAGGTTAGTGTACCTGTCTGATATATGATCAACTCTTTCTCTCTCTCTCTCTCATACATGTAGGAAGACAGTTTAGTGTGACTATTGATGAGTCTGGTCTTGAACCAGGAGCTCATTATGCTGAAGTAAGTTCATTAAAATATTTTTAATGTCTTTTCCTCTTCTTTTCCTTCTATCCTCCTACTGGGTTATTCCCTCCCTCCCTCCTAGGTTCTTGGTTATGGTTCCAGAGAAGACAAAGGCCCGTTGTTTAGATTGCCAGTGACAGTTATAATGCCGACACCTTTAACAGACAAGTTAGAGAACAGTATATGTACATGTCTACATGTAGGATTATTTATTTATGTACATTATTATATTTCTGATTGCTTTATGTTAGGTTTACTTTTGATTGCCCTCAGCTCCAGTTATCTCATTCAACTATTAAGAGATATTTCTTTCATGTACCAACTGAAGCAACATGGGCAGGCAAGGAGAATAATAATAATAATAATTATTATTATTATTGTTATTATTATTATTGTTATTATTATTATTGTTATTGTTATTAGAATTAAAGTTTACAAGCCACAATGAAGTGACTCGCTCTAAGCTTTGGGTGCACACCATTCACCTTTTGCCAGAGAAAGCTTACAGAGAGAAAGAAACCTTAGACTCCATCATACTAGAACCAGAAGCAAGCAACACGCTCATCGTCCCAACTGTGGTAAGAGCCCCGTTTCTATGGTAACCGGTTGTTATGGCAACTGTTGCTAGGGTGGACATACAATGGAGCTGGTTGTGACCCAGTATTGGACAGAGCTCCATCCGCTGACTGTGTCTTTTAATGTTTCATTTCATAGTCTGTGTCCCTCATCCAATAACTTTATACTGGTGAGCACATGTGCATGTACACAATATGTACATGTACATGTATTTGTAGTACAGTTACATGTATATCTTTGATGCTATATGTCTTCCTCTCTTAGCATTCCAACACATCATGGACAAGACTTGATGTGTCCTGCAATTACAGACTAGAGGAGCTGTATCCTGAATTCAAACTAACTCACCACTGCCTAGCAAGACGGTATAACTTGTGTTTGTTGTGAATGGTATATCTTTATTGTGTTGTTGTTTAATAGGCCAACTGAAGCTGTTATCAAGCCATTGAGTAACACAAGGCAAGTTCTAATAGATGGTAAACAGATTTATGAACTAAGACTCACGTATAACTTCTATTTGGTAAGTGAGGGATATTGTACAAATGAAGCACTCTTTGCTTCCTTTCTGCTATAGAGTAAGACGTGTGAAGTGAGACCCAATGCTCATTTATTGAGTGATTTATTGTATGAGAGTCCTTTCTGTGGTCAGCTCTGGATGGTTTATAGCTCAAATAAACAACTGATGGGATCTGGTGATGCATACCCTAAGAATTACTCAGTCAAACTTGATAAAGGGAACTATACTGTTATACTGCAGGTAATGCGTCAATGCATGGATAGTAGTAGCAATTAAGATCCTTCAATAAATTAATGTATTCCTTTTCTCCTTGTCACTTCTTTTAAGGTTCGTCATGCTACCAGATCAGAGTTGGAGTCACTCAAGGACCTGCCCATCACCATTGAGATCAAGATGCCTACTTACATACTAGTGGATATTAGCCCAACACGCTGCGGTCAGACCAAGTGGGGATCCACCATAACAGCTAAGCCAGGCTCTACTCTACCCCTGTATGTATTTGGGCCTTCAGATGACAGGTACCTCCTTGTCATACATGGTACATATACTAAGTTATCATTTGTGTTTAGAGTAAGTAAGTCAGCTGGTCCTAACACCAGTCCTGGTGATTTCTTGACTGGAACATTCACTCTATCAAAGAATGACTTAGTCAAAAAGAAAGTAATTATGCTCTCAATCATAATCCTTATCTCTTATGTGATTCTTATAAATATACATGTATATTATTATTCTTGTGGTTGTATTTGTAGGTAGTGTATCCTGTTCAGTATATTCTTGGTCCTAAAGCTAGCAGAGGTAACTCTGGCCCTCCCAAGAAGAAGGAAAAGGATTACGAGGGAGCTCTTAAAGAATTTAGACTTCACTGGATGAGGTCTGACATTAGCTTGAAGGCCATTATTATTGCATTATTATTATTATTATTACTATTATTATTATTACTATTATTATTATTATTATTATTATTATTATTATTATTATTTTAGCAAAGGGAAAGTTAGTCCTGCTGAGCTAGAGGAAGAATTTGGTGATGATTTAGAGTTCCTGATGGCTAGACTAACAATGATTGAAGCCGACAAAAAAGTAACAGAATTAAATTATTATCATCACTATATGCTGTATGTATTGATGCTTACCTTTCTCTTCAGAATGTATGGGGTGAGGAAGTTGCTACTATAGTGAGCAAGATCCAATCACAGGTATTCAACCCATCCATCACTGATTGCTAATGCAGGGTTTCTCACATTTGGAGCTACTTCAAAAATTTATTAAAAGTCCAAATTTGATCAGAATCAGCTCAAAGTTGATAGACAGCATAAGGACATAATCAGAAAGAATTAAAAATGAAGAATTTTCTCATAGTCATTTTTGGTGAAATTTGGCCAAAATCCCTGTATTGTAGTACAGGGACTTTGGCTCGATTTTGGAGCAACTTAAAAAATTCATAAAAAATTCATATTTGATTGGAATCAGCTCAAACTTGCTACACAACATAAGAACATGTATATGTATCAGGAAAAATTATAAAAATGAAAAATTCTCTCCTAGTCATTTTTGATGAAATTTGGCCAAAATCCCTGTACTATAGTACAGGGACTTTGACTCAATTTTGGAGCAACTTTAACAAGCGTAACAGGGTAAAAAATATTCCTATAATTGATTTCACCACCTTGCAAGTACAACTTGGTCATTATTAAGACTTATAGAGGTTCTCTCTACCTTCTAATGCTTCTAGAGAAGTCTTTAGATAGTATCTCTATGTTCTCTTGCTGTTAGAAAGCTCTTAACTTTGTCCCATGTGTAAGCCGCCATTTTGTTTGCCGTGGCCACACCCACTCATGTAAAGGAGCGTGGGCGGGTGGTTGCTAAGGCTTGTTACGTTATTTCTCCAATACAACGTGTATAGAAGAAATGTAAGTGTGGACATACAAATAAATAAATATATAGATAGCGCGACGGTGAAATCAATTATAGGAACGACCTGGGGGCTACGCCCCCAGGTCGTTAAAAATTTATAATAAATTCATATTTGATTGGAATCAGCTCAAACTTGCTACACAGCATAAGAACATGTATATGTATCAGAAAAAAATTATAAAAATGGAGAATTCTTTCCTTGTGATTTTTGTCGAAATACCCTGTGTTATAGCACAGGGTTTTTTCCTAATTTTTGATCAACTTGAAAATCCACTGATAAGTTCATTTTACTAATGATGTAGATTAATGTAGACGAGATATTGGCACAGCAAGGGACAAAGACTGACCTATCACAAGATGCCTCAGAGAGATCAAGGTAATCCTTATCAATCGTATCATGATACTCTCATTCAATATGCATTTGTACAATCATAGTACTCTTGATAAGCAGAAGGCTACTCTTATTGAAACAAGGATGCTTGAGGTAATTGGATTGACCACACTGATACATTTATGTCCCCCTCTTTCTCTCTAGTCTTCTCTGTTATTCAGACAGGATCCTGTTAATATTAGTCACTTATTAGTTATTTATACTGAACTGAACAAGCTATTGGATCAGAAGGACAGCAAGGTATTGAGTTTGCTTGTGTTAGTACTCTTGCATCATTCTCAAGACATGTAATTGTTATTCTTGGGAATTGGGATCTGATAATACACGAATATCTCATTGAATTTGATTTTGATTGCATGTTGTTGTTGTTTTTGTGAGTTTAACTTTTTATTTGTATATTTTACTGAACTGTGTTTAGTTTTTTAAATCTTGTTTGTTAATGCAATGCATGTGCATTCATGATGCTCATATGTTCATCATAATATTGATTAGCTAAAAGGATTCAAACTGAAGCTAAGTGAATCCCTTGGTTTTCATGGACTGACTGCAAAACTCATTGAAGAGGAAATGAATGATAAAGGACACAACAGAGTGTTTGAAGAGAAATTAGTTAAAGTGAGAGAGAGAGAGAGAGAGGGGAGAGAGAGCGAGAGAGAGAGTGAGAGAGAGAGAGAGAGAGAGAGAGAGAGAGAGAGAGAGAGGGAGAGAGAGAGTGAGAGAGAGAGAGAGGAGGGATACACAAGTCCTTAAAAATGACAATGTATTATTTTTCTTTTTGTAGTTGTATAGAAAGTTGGGCTGGGAGCATGCAGCTGTGTTGACAGAAGGCTGGATACCAAGAAAATATTCAAATAATTATCAAATATTCTGATGATGAAGAAAAATAACTAATTTATTAGATGCTAATAGGACAGAATAATAATATATTAATCTTCGTATTAAGTTTTTAAATAACTATGATTACAGTATTACTATGATTACAGTTTTGTCTACCAAGCCACTGTTAGTTAATGTCATTAGCATTGTTATTGTTGTTATTTTAATAATCAAGACTATTGTTAATCTTTTTAATGGCGTAGTGTTATTTTTCATTCTATATATGCCTACTGTTGCTTAGTGAATATAGTGCAATATTTTCTTGTGTCACTCTTTTTATAAAGCTTGAAGTGTGTATGTGTGTAGGATAAACAAAAAGTGATTTCTTTTGTAACTAGTCTGGGCATAATTATAACTGAAATCACAATTCTTATTGTAAAGGTGTAATTGGGAATTATTATCATTATTATTATACAACAACAACAGCAATAACAATTATTATTATTATTATTTTGTTTATTACTGTAACTAAAGGTTACCATAGATAGTCTACTATCTATGAGGTTACGACAAATGAGATTACTTGTATTTGTTGTTATAAATGAGTAAATGATTATTTTGAAATGTTTAGTAAAGTCATAGATATGGTAGAGTTGTGTTTTTGTTATGATTTTTAATAGATAACTTTCCTCTCTCTGTAATCAGTGACTTTTATGCTATCAACTGTGTGCAGCCTATATTTTGGACTAAATACTAAAAGGAAGTAAACCCTAAGAGGAAACTGAAGGACACTATTGCACATGCGGTTTCCTTAACTTGATTGTACTGGTAGTATATATACCACTAGTCTTATTATGCACCCAGATTAATTTGTGTCGTCTATTTCTTTGTTGACATGTTTTTATTGCAATTGGTTGGATTTATCTTTTTGCTGAGTGTCAGTGAAGTTATTAGTCAATGTCCACCTTCCTCAGGTAAGACACTGGATGTGTATAATAACAACTGTATAGGTTTTTATAGGTATCTACCTTTTGCGTAATGGAATCTGTTATCCTAATGGATCATATTTTTGGGATGAAACTGTCAATGCAGCTAATGAAGCTATATCATGTGTGTTATCTGGTACTAGTCTAACTACTGGTCAGTGGGTTAGAGTTGCTGATCCTGATGATCCTGTTGACTGTGACAATACTAACAATGATCCTTTTCGTTGTACTTCTGTCACTTCGCCTAATGCTACTCTCAGTCTTTATCTTGCTCAGGGACTACCAGCAGCTCAAGAAGGCTGGTACAAGTGTTGCCTACCCACTGATTGTTCAGATCCTAACACTAACACCATCTTTGCTAATATATTCAGTAAGAAGAGACTATAATCACTTACTGATGTAATAATTTTCATTTGTAGGATATGCAGAGATAGAATCATTTACTGCTGATCTTCCTTCTGATATGACAGTATATCCTCAGGAATACAAACTGAATTGTACTAAAATTGGACACTATCGCTATGATATTAGCATGAACATTGGTAGTACTGCACTGGCTAGTTATACTAATTGTGATGATCGAAGTAGTACTTGTCCTGGTACTGAGTTAGTTAGTTTTAGCAACACATTAAGATATACTGTTAATATCACATGGGATGGAATAAATGTCAGTAGTGGATCAATCAGTCAATCAACCACTGGAGATCAAATGTATCAGTGTGTAGTGCAAGTTGCTGGTCAACCAACTAGAACACGTGATATAATTGTAAAAGGTAATGTTTATGAATGCTAATAATTCTTGATACCAATAATATTAGTACCAGCAACTGCTCCCTCTTCTCTTACTGAGGTTAACAAGACAGCTACCACTATCACTGTCAGTTGGAATGCACTTGATTCATCTGATGCTGATGGATACGTAGTCAATGTCACTAGTGACACAGACACTGTGCAGACAGTACAGGTGGAGGGAAGTAGTAATAATACAATCACACTGAATGGACTGAGAGGAGGAACAACTTATAGCATCACAGTCAGAGCCTATCAACAATTACTGGGACCTGCTAGTACAATCAGTGTACAGACCTTACCAGGTATTGCTACTGCACCTTTTAATGTACTTGTAACATTGTTGATGTATTTCTAGTTATTAATTCAATCAATTGGACACTAGTCTCATCCATTACACAACTCAATAACACTCAATATTGTATTGATTGTCTCACAACTACTGATATAAATCCTTCAACTAATGTTTACTGGTTAGTGAATGGAGTGATGAAGAGTAACTCAAATTATTCATTAATTGATGTCCTGACATACAACAACACACTACTGGTATATCCTGATCCACTGGGAGTGTCAGTTAATGTTACCTGTATAGCAATGATTGGAGGAGTCAACTACAGTCAATCTGTGATATTACATGGTATGATTATACTTTAATCAATAGTAGATACCTTTGTCTCTTTTCTAGCTCCTAGTTGTCCTCCAAATAATATGCGAGGGTTTATATTAAATGCTAATAGTATCAAAGTGAACTGGACCAATTCATCAGAGACTAATGGATATGTGATTGAGTATACTACTGGAGGTGTAACCAGGAATGTAGTATCCACCAGTGAAGATGAAATTATACTAACAGATCTCTCACCAATGAGTACCTATACCATCAGTGTGTACTCATATATAGATCTTCCTTCAGTTAATAGTACAGTGACAGTGTTAAGATTTAATGGTGAGTTATTATGATTGAGAGAGTGTAATTGATATGTGTTGTAGTTCCTAGTCCAGTAACTAGTCTCTCAGTATCTAATGTGTCAACCACTGGTATTACAGTAAACTGGACTATTCCCAGCAGTGACAACTATGTAACAAACTACACCATCTCCTATACTCCATCTTGTCCGGAGTTATCATCAGTGAATGAGACAGTCTCTGTTGCTCCTCATCAGTCCACTACAACATAC